GCGATTTAACACTTATTAACTGCTCAAAGAGAACACCGTTAAAACTTTACCTTGACATGTCCTCTCATCTCCTTCTCCCACTACCTTTAAGCCAGCTTCGCAGCCACATGCGAAAGTTACGTTTTCTTGTTCCCGGCACTGCAGTGGAAGTGGACAAGCATCTCCTGCCTTTTCGCACTCGTCCATAGCTGGGGAAATTGTTTTTAAGAATAATTCAGTTACTCGGCGATATTTACGGTTTAAGCTTTAAACCCTAAGATCAAAAGCAAAATTCTCATCCCTATTCATTTACATAGAAGTAGTGGGGAGAGGTTGATAAAATATCAAGCAAATACATCTTGTCAAAGGTTTGAACCCAGGAGTTATTTCAAATACATCTTGGTGTGATCATGTCCGTAATTCTCATGACCACTCTGTTTTACAAAGCGTTGCTATCACAACAAAAAATTTGATGCTAACCACTCTCAGGGTTTAAAGTGTTAAGCCCAGTCCAATCCCTTCTGAGATGTCTCGGGATGCGCTGGATCGTGTCAAACTTTCATGGAATGGTGGTTACTCCTTGGGCGAAACTTTCTCCCTAAAAAGATATAGCTGGCATTGGGAATTTGCAATTGGGCTTTGGGCATTTTTGCACACCGAACTTACTGCAATGATTTACTTGAGCGACCACCAGACAATAACTTTCCAATGGGCAATTCCCAATCGTCAACGCTATCTTTATTGAATCAACTATAAATCCAAATCATTTGTGCAGTTGATATAGCCTGCGAATTATTCAGCAGTAAAATCCCTGTTCCAGCTGAAAGTGGGGAACGATGAGAGGCCAACCATCGACCATTTTGAAGTTTCGCCCGGAACTGGCTTGAGGTTGTCTCGAATTTCACCATGGGTCTCGGCTTTCCGCGCAGGCTCATTGTGTCCACCAAAAGTGTCCCATGGAGCAATGCGATTCAACATAAATTGTAAAACCAAGAGCTATTTACAGTTCCACACTATTCTATACAGGAAAAAGCCAAAATTCGTCGGATTTAAGATCAGAAGCATGCGCATTTGGTTGCTTTTATTAAAATCCGTGGTATCTAAGCCACGAGGGATATCATCCTGTGCAATGACATCACGTAAGATGCACATGGAAGAGAGATTACAAGAAAAAATTTCCAGGGAGCAAGCAGATGATAAACGAGGTGAGTTTTTAATTCTGTTTTATTTTGCTATTTTCAAGATGTGTTAATTTGCTTGTGGAAGTATTCATTAGGGTCTCGTACTGGTTTAGTGATGAATCTCGAGGAAGGCAAGAGATTTCCTACATACTTCCATGATTGATACATCTTTCAGTATCATTATTTCACGCGAATTACTATGCTGGATTTTTTGCTTTCAAAATCCTGGCAGTAGAAACGCGTAGCGGAAGAGGAAGTTACTTGTAAACAAAACCATGATGATATAGGTGTGCGAATGTTTTTATATAAGACATCTTTCGTTTGAGGAACCAGAAGGCAAATTCCCAAAAACAGGCGCTTGCTAAAAACAGAATTTCTACCTAAATGTTCGAGATTCAAATTATGCATAAAAATCACCCCCACGGAGGTATGTAGTGCGCACTAATTTGAAAGAATTAGCATAACGTCAAATTAAAACAGCGAAGTTCGTAGGCAAGGTTCTGTTTGGAATTTTAAGGTATTGCAGTAAGTTTGGGATATTATACTTTTCACATCATGAAGGTTATGTGATACATGGAAAAGCTTTAAAAATCAAGTTTTTGCATAAATTCACACCTGGGACTCGGTTTAGAAAAAAAGTTTGTTTCCAAGATCGCACCCAAATTTCCTAGTAATGCTGTTAAGCGAGTAAATTGAGTTATTTAAAATTGGATTTTCGATCCTTTATCACGTCTAGTGAAGATATAAAATTTGAAAATATATTTTCGTTTTATTTGAATTCACAGAGGTTTTATTCTCAAAGAGGCTACTTGTCAAAAACTACACTTTATGCTCCTGACATTGAATTTTCATTTGATGGCACAAAATTTGTCTTTCACAGATATTTGTTTATCGTTGTCATCGGTGATACATCAATTTTAATTATTATAAATAAAGTTACTTTTTGAAAATTTCCAATCCAAAGTGCCTCTTAGTGGTGAAAGTTTTATAGCAAAAGAATAGTATCACTGGTCTACGGCCCCTGCTCTAAATTTGATGAAGAATTGTACCTTGACAAGTCCTGTTATCTCCTTCTCCCACTACTTTTGAGTCAGCATCACAGACACATGCGAAAGTTCCGTTCTCGTTTTTCAGGCACAGCAGGGCAGATGGACAAACTTCTCCTGCCTTTTCGCACTCGTCCAAGGCTGGAAAAATTGTGTCATAAAGAATACTTAGTCTCCTCTCCAAACCCATTAATTAACACGTCTGTATTTTAGACGAGTAGCCATTAAATAACTAAGTCAAGATGTTTTAGGCATTTTGATCGATCGCTTTTGAAACCATCACAAATTTAAATAAAATGAAATGGAAAAAAATTGGAAACGCAAGAGAAATGCCGAAACACTACAAGGGAGCATAACGGGGGGAAATCGGATTGCAAGCGAACGTGAAGGCAACCGCCAACTTTTTACGTTTGCCTTACTTACAATGACTTCGTCCAACCTCGTTCCCACCATCCTCTCTTACTCGTTTCACGGTTGCCGAGTAGGAGAGGACACTGGTAAAGAGGTTGGGCTTCTACGAGTTTTTTTTTTTTTTTCAACCATTCGTAAAACAAAGAGAAATAGGCAACATCACTGAGACAAAACCTATCACTGCAAAGTCCTTTAGAAATAATCTGTACCTTGACACGTCCTCGCATCTCCCTCTCCTACTACCTTCGAGTTAGCATCGCAGTCACATGCGAAAGATCCGTCCTCTTGTTTCAAGCACTGTAGCGCAGATGGACATACCTCTCCTGCCTTTTCGCACTCGTCCATGGCTGAAATGATAACGCATTGTCGTGAGAAATTCTTTCATTCTTCAACTAACCTTGCTCATGCTCATTTTAACTTTAAAAATCGACAGCAATTCCATAAATTGCTTTTTTCGGCGAACTCAAATTTTTAGCAGCAAATATACTTGACGACGCATTTCTCCTCTCCTCAAAAGCCGGAATTGAACTCTATATTTGTCATTACACATTTTACTAATAGGACTCTCTACCTACTTTAATTTATTGCTGAAGGCAAGTTTATCGAACGAGACTATGAGGTGTATGAGTACTTTCAGTGTACTTTTGACATTTAAGGCAATTTTGCTCTATGAGATTGTTTTATGCCTTGTTATAAGTTCATTCGGGTAAAATGAGGAAAATAAAGAAAACAAGCATTGTTTCAAAATTGTTTTTTTTTTTTCATTACTGCTGAGAATGATGGCACCGGTTGAAGGGCGACCCGCAACATCTCACATTTTGTTAGAAGCCGTCAGTTAAATAATAATGAAATTTTACCTTTACAAGTCCTTCTGTTTCCGACTCCAACAATCTTAAAACCAGGATTGCACCCACATTCATAACCTTGTTTCTGCTTCACGCACTTCAGAGCAGGGGGGCAAATAAGTCCTTTCTTTTCACACCCGTTCATTGCTATAAAAACGACATCAATTAATAAATGCACCAGACGTCACGGGTTTTCTGAACATCCCAGAAAATGTCAGAGAATTCACGTTAAAATTGTTTATTATTCATTCAAAATGTTTCCCCGATTCTGATTGGCTAAAAGCACAAGCATAATTCACCATAGCCAGTTACTGATGACCAAATTTGGAAGAATTTTGTGTTTAACGAGGAAATGACGTCAAAAATGCAGCGTTCTTGCAGGTTAATGCACCGTTAACCGAGGGGACCTGGGGACGAGGTTGAGTTGTTTTGGTTGTGAAAACAAAAAATGGAGGACATTTCACTCGTTTCAAGAGTAAGAACTAGGCGAAAAAATAGCTAAAAGCATGGCAAGAACAGCAAGAACACAACTCAAAGGGGGACATCTGCTATTTGGAGAATATTTGCGGAGCTGAACGACCCGAAACCTGCACTATTGAAGGCGAACTTAACATCGATGGAGGTAAGCATGTTTTAGATTTGTTTTTAAACTAGGAATTATTTTGAATGAATAATAAAACAATTATTGAATTCGGCTTTCGTATCATATGAAGAATTATGGAGATCTCGGAGGGTGTTATTATCCGCCTCGACCTACGGCCTCGACGGATAACACCTTCCTCGATGTCCATAATTCTTCATAAGATACTCAGCCTCATTCATTAATTATAAATTAAATAGTACTCGTACCTTTACAAGTCCTGGCGTTTCCGCCTCCCACAACCTTAAAACCAGGATCGCATCCACATTCATAGTTATGATGCTGCTTCACGCACTTCAGAGCAGGGGGACAATTTTTTCCTCTCTTTTCACACTCGTTCATTGCTAGAAAATGTCAAGTGAATCGTTATCTTTCATTACATTCACGAGTAAACCAGGGAGTGCAAAAAGGCCATTTCAGAAGCAAGAAAAAAAGTCTCATTTACGGTGAAAGTGGATGCCAAGACATCGGCACAAGATCAGTTCACCAAATTTTTTACGTAGTACTTATAAATACCTTCACACTTCCTCGCATTTCCTCCTCCAACAACCTTGAAACCAGGATCGCACCCGCATACATAGCTATGTCCCTTTCTGATGCACTTTAGAGCAGGGGGACAGAATAGTTCTCTCTTTAAACACTCATTTGTTGCTTTAAAGAAACATGTCATTAATTAAATACATAGTCATAAGTTTTCTAGTGAACTGGAGAATATGTGAGTGAGAAATGACAAAAAACTTCAGTCTGAGTGAATACCACGATTGTTTTGTATTTTTTAAGGTCGATAAACAAGGTAACGGGAATGGTAGACTTGAGCCAAGGTCTTCCAAATATGGAGTTTGGTGAGACAGTATGTTTTAGGAATGGCTATGTAATTTGGCATTTCGTTGAATTCTAATAAATACCTGCACTGAGCAAGTGTACGGGGGAAGTTCAGACAAAATATTGCATTTTTTGAGACAATTCTCCTTGATAATTGGAGTTTTGTCGGGTAGAGATTCGAGAATCGAGCTCTGACCCTGACCTTTGCAATGACCGGACAAAACGCTCTATCTATGTCCAGTCTTCATGAATTGACAGTAAAACCTTTTCTTCTAGATCCTTAATTTTTGACATAGATGCTCTAAGAATTCTTTGATCAATGAATATCTCAAGATCAAGAGAGTCTCCCCGTACCCTCTTTGTGAATTTTGTGAATCTGCCCTAATTAGATCACGAATGTGACTCTATAACATTTAGCACCAACACCGTATTACATTTGGCACACCCTTATAACATTAAGCACATCAACATGTCCCCCTGGTTACCTGTGCATTTTTTCGCAGGATCCCCAATAAAACCGTCTCTGCATTTGCAAACGACCGTAGTGTCGTGGAAATAGCCTGTCATCATGCACATAGAGTGCCGTGACAAGCATTTAAATTTTCTTCTGTTGACGTATGGGTCACATTCCCTAAATCCGCCTAAAATTGTGAGTATAAAAAGAGTAAAATAGTAAATAATATTATACTTGGTAAGAAAGAAAGAATTAAAGTCGGCATAGTTGAAAAGTTTTTGAGTGATTTGTTGAAAACTAAAGCAGTTATATCACCACAAGTTCCATGATACAACGAACTTTTGTGGGCTCCGGCTAACCCTAGAGCTGTTTGTGTTAAAAAATTTCGCGCCCTTGGGGAACTATATTTGCACTAATTCTAAGGCGCTGTTTCTAGCGATGTTGAAGGATAATATTCGCTAATTCCAGGCCCTTATAACAAATCGTGGAAGGGACTCTGGCAGACAATTCTACTTTATTATTCAGCTAAAAGTGGTTCCACCGGTTTTAAAACCTCAGTCTTTGATTTATTGATTCGTCACTAAAATAGTATTAACATGCAGTGGCTTTCTGCAAATCGTACAAAAAGTATTGGCTCCTTTTTAACGCAAGGAAAAAAAAATCCAGTAACAGCCTCATCACCAGGGCTTTTCCATTTAGGTACAGCAAGACTTGGAAAGTAAATTTTATAGTTTATTTAATAAACTCATATTTTTTTCGTGTTTTAAGATTAACCCTTTAACCCTAAGATCAAAATTTGAATTCTCATTTGTTGTCCCTATATATTCATTTACTACAGAAGTAGTGGTGAGAAGTTGATAAAATATCACGCAAATTCATCTTGTGTGATCATGTCCGTAGTTCTCATGACCACTCTGTTTAACAAAGCTTCAATATTACTAGAAGAAATTTGATGCTGATCACTCTTAGGGCTTAAAGGGTTAAGGTCCATCTTCTCGTAACATTCCTGGCTACATCTATCCCCCTCAGCATCATCTCACTAACACACCTAGACGAAGATGCTAAAAGATGTTCCAGGTGTTTTATACCTTGGCATTGATGCTTTCCATCTCCGTAATGCCAGCCCTGACAAGCACAGTGGTTCAACAGACACTTTGCTTGTGGATGGCACTGTCTGTCTGAATGACAGTTACCTGCAATAAAAAACAACGCATTATCTCGATCCCTTGAAATGAACTCAGAGCAGTAATCTGCAAGATGTACACTTGTCGCTCTTAAGTATTTTTATAGTTTTAATTGTTCCCGTTTCTTGGAATTTTTTGTTTATTTGTTTTGGAGTTCGCCCCTCCAAAGTTTGATACAGTCAAACATGAACACTGCTTTACAGACACCCGCTTAAAACGGACACCTCATTATTACGGTCAGTTTACTTTGTCCCTTTTGACCTCTTTAGCTTCTGTGTTTTGTTTTCCCAAAACAGGTCATGTGATAATACTCTAGAGAACTGTTCCTCTCTAGCCTGCGAAAACATCCGTTTCTCCTCGCTCTTCGCCGCCGGGGACGTTTCGCGAGGAGGAACGTCTGCGACTCAGCGGTAGAAATTCCATGCTGATGCAATCCAATGTTTACATAATAAATGCAGTAGTCATGGGGTCCAATTACAAATTCGTCCAATTTTATGTGTCTTCTGGTCGATTTTGGTAAAGTGTTGTGTTCATCTGCCAACGAGCTCCAGCAAAACTCAAATGCTTCTTCGAGAGAAGACTATATTTCCACAAACATTGACTGTTTTGTTAGAGATTTTTCGCGTTTACATTTCACCTTTGTGACCTTTTGTCTTTTGTCTGTCATTCGTAAACAATAGCTAAAACAATGTAACTACTCCGTCGACCAATCAGCGCTTCTGACCGGATTCCGGACAGATTTTACGTCATCAGTTTGGAATTTCTGTCGCTGAGTTGCAGACGTTCCTCCGCGCGAAACGTCCCCATCGGCGAAGAGCGAGGAGAAACGGATGTTTTCGCAGGCTAGTTCCTCTCAAGTTTTGTCTAATTCACGTGCATATCTGCGCATAATTTATGAAAAGACAAAGGGCCAAGTTCCCCTGGGACCTCTATTGGAAAAGAAAACATACAAGCTAAAGAGGTCTATTCGATCAGCCCGCTTTATGCGGACACCCCGTTAAACTCCTGCTTACTCTTAATGCGTGTCTGGCAACTTTGTGAGACCACAAGGGAATACAAGCAAGTAAGGAGCTTGAAAATTCATAGTTTGCAGACCGAAACTTCCCTGAAAATGCGTGCGAATATTATAAATTATATTCCTTAACTTTAATTCTATAGGCGTAGGTGAGCAGCGTCTGGTTTAATCGAGGACTGGAGCAAGATAAACACACAATGCAACACAGGAGGTCTTACAAAAACCAAAGGGAAAAAAAAAACGCTCAATACCTCCCACCCCACATAAACAGCCATAATGAATAAAATGAGGTTTGGACTCTAATATCACTGCCATTGGACAAACGCAAACGGCCTATAAAATTGCAATAATAAATATATGATCATAGTTCATTTTATACGTGTAATTTGAGTTTGCCGGCTTTTCACTTTGGCTTTGACTCAGAATGTTTTATATTTCTTGTTAGTGTCCACCACGAAGGAAAAAGATCGAGAAAAATTCAAAAATGCAATGAATGAAAACAACGCAGTTCGAGGCATCATGCCGTTGAAGAGGCATGCCTTCTTGCCTGTTAGAGAAAACCTTGACTTTAGCCATTTGAGGCGGTGTAGTTCCCAGCGATCAGGGGCACCCAACGACAATTTTCGGAAAAATATCTGTTCGGAAGACGATTTGAGATCTAGAATTTTCGGAACATTTGTTGTAAAATTTCTTGCTTGCCTGCTACTCCTAGGATTTTCGAACATCTAAAAAATGGTAAAATTGCCCATTTTCAACGGATTTTTACCCTAAAAAGGTCACCTAAAATTTTTGGGAGCCTTTTTTCTGGCTGAAATTTTCGAACAGGTAAGTTTTGATCCCTATAATTTTCGGATCACTAGACTTTCATCTACGAAATCCAAACAGATGAAAAATTTATAGGGGATAAAAATATGCCCATATCCACTGTTTAAATACTAAAACACGTTTAACAATGCTATGTTTAAGTGGTTTTGAACTATATTCTCGTTGGGTGCCCCTGAGCGGTGACCAACCCAATCTTTGTTTGACATACTTTACTTCTTTGGGGGTAAACACTTTTTTCTCCCTCCTTTTTTGTGTTGCTAATTTTCACAGTCAATCGCTAATGTGTTCTTGTGGTATTTGCTGTTACTGTCATGTTGAAATATAAAACGTTAACCCCCGGGCTTACTGTTAACATGTTTTTATTACTACGTGAGAAAATTCTGCAATTTGAATGGCTTGGAGCAGTGGTATTTCAGCTTAATTTGAAAAAGCTACATGTGAAAATTACAAGCCTATTGCGAGTAGCAGTATAAACAAATAATAGCATGATTTGTACTAGATATTTGGCATAAATACCATTCGTGATATTTCAAAATTGTCTCAAATTTCACTCGCCTAACGGCTTGTGGAATTACGTTTAACAATTTCGAAATATCACTCGTGGCATTTATGCCAAATATCACGACAAATCATGCTTTTACCTGTACTAATATAAATGTAAAGATCGTGCGTCTTGTTGTCCTCTTATCCAAGACATTAATTTTTAGATTAAAAGTTAAAGGGGCTGTGTCACGGCAGTACAGTACATTTTGTTTAATTTTGCCAATTACTCGCCCTCAATCGCTATGGAACTTAAAGTAAGGAAAGAAATTACATGTAAATGACAAAATCAGAGATCCAAGAGAAACAAATATGTTTCCTGACCATTATTTTTTAAGTTGCAAGCAGCAGGGATCAACTTTGAAAAACTGTTAGGCTGAACAGTTTTCAGTCTTCTTCAGTTTTGCCATCTGTGGCATCAGTTGTTTATGTTATGTTATTTAACCTTCCTTTAAAGTTTTAAGCGGTTATTTTTATGTTTTATGTTTTTTTACGTTTAACCGGCCTGCTGTAATTTTCTAATATGGCTGAATTTCGAGACACAGCTTCTTTAAGAAATCAAAAAAACTCTCTAAAAGTTTTGATAAGTGTTATCCTTACCTCCCGAAACACTCTTAGGGTATATAAAAAGGAAGCAACAAAAGACTCCAAGAACAATGGACTTAGATAGCCAACCCATTCTGGACTAGGGCATCATTGCGGCAGTCTCCTCCAAACAGCGTAGATGGTGTTTAAGTCCAAGATAGAATGAAAGCACGACGCATTCAAGCAAAGAAGTCATGATCAGGTTGCTTACAATTACACGTCACAAATCAGTTATAATAAGCTGATTTAGCAACAGAACGGGAACGTCTGTTGACGACTGCGCGCGCAAATCAAACAACTGCATTGACCAATGGCAGAGCGGCAAATTGGGTACCGGAAGTCGAGTTTAGTCCTTTCCGCGCGCTTACCCGTCGTCAAATGACGTTCCCGTTCTGTTGCTAAATCAGAACGACAGTAATCCATTGCGCACGCGCCATGACTCCATCTTACTTTAAAAAAGCAATTAAGGCCTTCATTGATTTATTTAATTCTATTCTTAAATGATCAGGTGTCAAAAACACACGAGCGTTTAATTGAGCCTAAATGAAGTAGAACCTAAATGTGGAATTACGCAGAAATGCATACTGCTGATGAATAGTCAGGACATATTTCTGAGCATTAATTTGCAATTTGCAGATTGCCCTCATCCAATTTTTTGAAGCTATTTTATAAACTGGTCAACATTTTCATTCTAGTATACAAGTACGTGAAAAGACTTACGTTGCACTTTCAGAACAAAATATCAAATCCAACTCACCCTGCGGTGTTTTTGGGGTTTATTCCTGACCGGTGTTTACGGAGAGTGCGCTTAGACTAACTTTTAAACAAAGTCGAACAACTTTCAAACAACTCTCAAACTTATTTTTTCATACCGGCATTGCCCATATGGCCCGGAGTCCATACTCGGCAGATACGTGGATATGAGTCTGGAGAAATAAGGGGGTGTAGACCCTGTGTGAGATTGAGGTCTTTTGAGACGGTAAGTAAAATAGTACTTTTTGTTAGCTTACTTTCACCAACAACGACCTCCTCCTCATACGGGGTCAACACCCCTTTTGGCTTTTTTTTCGGTGTTGCGGAGACTATTGCTGTTTAGCTGTTATTTTTTAATGTGGATATCTTTCTTTGGCTTTTTCAATCTTTTGCCCATTTTTCTCCAAGTGCTTATACACGTCTCTGTCTCTGCTTCTGCCTCTCAAAGGGTTGGAATTTGGCTTTCGAACTCTTTTCACGCCCCATGTAAGAGAATCCAAGAAACTCTCGGATTTTGGATTCAACTCCGTTTACTCCGGATTCCATGTACTTGATTCCAGTCTTTGTCAGTGGAAATGTATGCCTCAATGGGATTCCGTATTTCTTGCGCTGTATTCCAGATTCCAAAGCCCAGGATTCCGGATTGCGCAAGCAACAATTCCCCGGTTTCAGGAATCCGAATTCCTTAAATTCCTGTTCTAAAACAAGAACGTTTATTAAACATGTTTATCGTCTTAAACGAAATGTTTATCGTTTGCATTAAAGATCGAAATTTCAATAGTTTTGCATCTAACACGATAAAACTGTCAGTTAATGAAACAAAATGGAGTAGTTTGCCAGCCAGGACCCGCGCTCTTATTCTTTATATTTCGATTTGAATAAGTAAAGTTACCGGGCGAGAAACGGGGGGCCCGTCTGCTTTGACGGGGTCTGGTGACGATGAGGAGGGAGACGATAAGAATGGACACAAAGAGGACTTTACTCCTTTCGAGGAATTAAGAAGGAAGAACACAAATTGTGTGGAAATGAAAAAGGAATTTGTTCCTTCGGGAAGGAGGGCGGCTCGTGGGAGAATGGCGGAGGCGGGGAAAGCGGAAGCAGAAGTAGAGATCACTTCGTTTCATATGACGAGGAAAAGAACAACGTGGAAAAAGCGGCGATGATGTCGCTTCTTTTACTAGAAGAAGGCTTTAGTAATCTGGCTAAGCTCTCGCAGCGAGTGTCACTCAAAGATGGGAATCTTGTCCCGCTAAACAACTCACGGCTCTGCCGTTTAGGTTGGACTTAAATAACTGAAGTAGCAACTCATCATCAGTGGACTTCTATTATACAAGAGCGACATGAAATGTCACGGCATACTAATGTCTTCCTGTAAAACAGAAATATAATTCATACCTTAATTCAAATAGGTAAATAAACATTATGTTTATGCCAGATAATTAACGGGCAAAACTACAAAGAAGTTGGTTTAAGACCGCAGAAATCACTCTCACGTGACACAGGAACCAAAATATGCAACTGACCTACAATCCAGGACAACACTCCTTGGGACAGTAATGCACTATTTACACTTTTCCGTAATTTCTAAGTTCCCTCATAAAACAGTGCGTCCTTTTCAAAAATTTCTTGCAATTTTCCCTCCCCCCACCCTATACAGTTATGCATTTTTTTCCTAACACACTTTAGTCCGACCGGTTCATGAAAAGTAACCCGGTTAAACTATAAACCAGGTTACATTTTTGAACGATTTTCATCAGGTTATTCAAAATTTAGCCCGGTTAACTTGCTAAGTAAGGTTGCAGCCTTTGGCAAGTAATGTACGACTTAAAGCAAAGACAATACACTCGGCGAAAAAGGTGAACTGCGAGCGGAATAGCCATCCCCTCGACGGTTTTCATGATTACTGATACAACTAACAACATTATTAAAATACGGTAAAAATGGTCAAAGGCATTTCAAAGAAGAAAGCTATCAAGGTAATCGGTTACATTACGAAACAGCTGAGAAATAATGGTTTGTATAAACATGGGAGATGAGGAACGGGGTCGAATATTAGACCTGTATCAGAACCATGGTATATTACTAATTAGGCGAGTTAAACGTAAAAGCGTTCAGCCTTTTTGCATGTTTCCTTAAAAACAATGTGTTCAAGTCCTTGCAATGTAGCTGAAAGCAAAATGTTTCAATTAGAAAGGCAGCTAGAAATCACTGTCGCCGGCCAGTATAAAAGACAGAAGTCGTGAGTATGCGCACGGGGATATGAGAAAGGAAGATGAATCAATGCAGACCCATGGACTAGTTAAATGAAAAAGCGTTTGGCTTTTTGTATCTTACCTAAAGAGAACCGTCTTTGATCGTCGTTGCAGTAAAGCTCAAAGCAAAACGTTTCAGTCGGTTCGGCGTCAGAACTTTTCCTTGAACACCCACTTGGATGAGTGATCATGTAACCCTTTTATAGTCTCCCACGCGCGCGGAGCCGTTTTGTCTCTTTACGCAACGCTACTGCATTCTATTGTATCATGTGTGGTTTCGAGAAGTCATATATTTTAGGGAGGAGCATTGCGTGACGAGATAAAAACGGATGTGTGACATGCGAGACTAACATATCGATAGGTGCAGATTGGCGGACGAGCGACAGTGGAGTGTGTCGGATTTTGCTCGTAAAATTGAGTATTAGTTACCCATGAAACCAAGGTGTTATATACAAAATTGTGCTGCCTTATTTGAAGGTATGAAGCTCCTGATTTAGATGATTATGCCGGACTTAAATTTCCCTCCCCAACATGTTATACAGTAATGAGGTAACAAGGCCTACGACTATACCAAAGTGCTCTCGGAACGAGTCTCAATGGTCTTCCTTAGGTAATTAGTTCCTGAAATAGCGCCTTTTACCCTCTAGCTAGTGTTCACCGGGTAGGAGAAAAAGAAAAGATAAGAAGCAGTCTCTAGACTGCAAAATAGCTTGTACTTTGCGCAAGAGCGCTCAACCGAAAGGTCTAGAGCGGGACCGAAAACGGAAAGTGAGACTGGGAAGAGGGTCTGGGAAGTGACGTGAACAATTTTCTTTCTCTTTACACACTTTATGGCGTGTACTACTCACGCACCCCACGAGAGAAGTTGAAGGAAAAAAAAAAATAGTGTACAGAGTTTCTAAGCCGCCGGACCATAATGGCAACCTTGCATGATCGAAACGACCAGTGTGTGAGGTTTCCGCCAAGCGTGACATAGACATTGAAGTCATTGATTGCATTACTGCAATCTCAAACACGCGACATTTAGCTTGCCTAGCAAGCGTTTCCGCGCGAGTTCGTCGAGAAAGTTTGGGCGAGAGCCAAAAAAAAAAAAGCTTGCTACGCAGGCTACACGACATTCGCCTTACACTACCAGTGTCTGGCCTGACATCGAAATACAGTAGAGGACAGTATCTGACCTAAGAAAATCATCATGAAGATAATTTGTGTAGGTATGGCAAAAACTGGAACTAAATCCATCTCCAAAGCTTTACGGCATCTTGGATTCACTGTCTTTGACTGGGAAGAGCAAGTATTTGATTTCCAAGACCACTGGGTTGATGTTTTCCAAAATGGCGCCAAGCCAGATGTAAGGAGAGTCTACCAAAATGCTGACGCGGTCGTGGACAATCCCGGAAATTTTTTCTGGGAGGAAATACTGGAAGCTTTCCCTAATAGTAAAGTAATTTTGAGCGAAAGAGAAGAAGATTCTTGGTTGAAGAGTATGGTCAATCAACTTCAAGTCGCCGAAGCAGTGATATCTCGCAGGTTTTTGGCTGTTCTCTCCCCTACTTCAAGAAAACTGATCTTTATTCTTTATTCTCATTTGACTGCTATTCTTGGCTCGGCAAACCCCAAGTCGGCTTGTGTCTTGCGTAAGCGTTATCGCATGCACAATCACCGTGTTAAGTCACTTGTTCCACCAGAGAAGTTGTTGGTGTACAACGTGAAGCAAGGCTGGAAACCGCTGTGTGATTTCTTGGGTAGCGACCTTCCAACAATTGCCTTCCCACATGAGAATATCAAAGGCGAAATTGCTGAAGTTCCTTTGTCGGAGACAAGGTTTGGTCGGCAGGTAATATTAGAGATACAGAGAGCTCTGTTTCTAATCCTTTCCGTTATCGTAGTTATTGTAGGTTCATTTTTTGTCTTTTTCTGTGATTAGCTGTGACTTTATTTTAAAAATAGTAACCTTGCATGACCAAGATAACGTTGTCATAAAATGCATGCACTTCCGGCATCGAACGGAAGCTAAAGTATCAGTAGTATGTACGCCAAGCGTGTCAAAAATATTCAAAAATAAAATATAGTTTGTATTATTGAACAGTGTATATGCGCTGCACCGTGTTATTACATTCAAATCAGGTCAAGCGTTCCCGTTGCTAACGAACTAATGAATTCATGAATGGAAAAATGATTTCTTTTCTTAGTCTCGCTTCCGTTAGCAGCGAGATAATCAGTAACGCGTTTACGCCCCGGGAAGTCCCTTATATAAGCTATATAGGTATGTGCCGCGCCAAAGGGTATGTTTTTTTCAGTCGTTTTGGTCTGAAATAGGATATTAGTTTCGACCATTTTGGTCTGAAATAGGGTATGGTTTGTGCACTCTAGTCTTGAATTGGGTATTTTTTTTTAGAAGAATTAGCTAATTCTTCATCATTTGGCGATAAGACCATTTCCCTTTAATTTTAATGTTTACGCCAACTACCGTGTACGTGTCGTAACAGCTTCTCACGCGCCGGGCTCCAGGGCTTCAGGTCTGAAATAGGGTATCAAATGTGTGATCAGGTCTGGAATACACTCTTCTCACGTATGGTAATATGCCCGTCTAACCTCGTTTTTGAGTAAAAAGTCCTTTGAAATGCTAATCAGACGAAGTTTTCGTATTTGAATTTCAAAAGAATTTTTACCTGTAAACGAGGTTAGACGGGCGTATTACCATAAGTGAGAAGAGCGTATAGGGTAGGGAAAAGCACAGATTTTGCTCTGAAATAGGGTAAGGGTTTCAGGAAGCGTGCCGCACACCCCCACCCAATTTTTCTGGAAGTCCCCCCCCCCGGAATTAGAGAGAGGGGGAATTTTTCCTGCTAGCAGAGGCCGAATACCGGAGAAAAGAGGCCTCTGCTTGCAGGAAAGGGGGAATTTTGAATGCCACGAGACTATTGTACATGTAAAACATATGCTACTCTCCGATTTTTGGGCGTATCTCAAACACAGGATGTTAGGATGGTTAATATTAAAATACCCTTCTGCTTCACGTGTTTAATATCCGCCAAAGTACCTCTCATCATTAAAAGGATGGCTTTACGTTACTCCTGCAACATTTTGTAAGTGTTTTGCATGGTGATAATGCATCCTTGTAGCCTTCCTTGAGTTTATTTGGAGGTATCATGCTCCTGATTTAGCTGATTATGCCGGAAAGTGAGACTGGGAAGAGAAGTTAACAATTTTCTTTCTCTTTACACAGTTTATGGCGTGTACTGTTCATGCGCCTCGCGAGAGAAGTTGAAGGGAAAAAATAAACAAGATATAGTGGAACATCGACTTAACCAAGGGCCAAGGGAATGACAAAATTGTTGGCTATAAGAAGGTTTTGTTATATCGAGGTTTTGTTTCGTATATTTTACTATGACTTGGGTAAAGAAAATCGTTTCTATATACCGAGAACTTCGTTATATAGAAGTTCGTTATATCGAAGTTCCACTACTGTATTGGAGCACCCGGCACTACTATTACTACTACTGAGCACGTGCGCAAAATTTTACCTAGGGAAAAATGAGCGGGGAGGGGGGTGGTGGGGCCGGCTACACTATCTAAGCGCTTAGGCTAACTGTTTTGCAGTCCCACTGTTTTCAGAACTACAGTACAAGGCAAAAATGCGTATCAGTGTTGGCATCATTGTTGCTGATAATGTATTAATGCCAGAGCAATCCCCGGAAGCAAGCCAAGCTGGAAGCTCAATGAAACTCAGTGAATGTGCAGTGCCATGAATATACTTCTTTTTAGCAGAGTGATATTATTCTCTCCCTCTTTTTTTTTCTTTAACGGTCTCTAAGCTGTATTTGACTGTACAGCTAAACAAATAGAAAACAAGTTTATCACAGCATAGCAAAGCGATTTTATTGAAAAAGGTTCAACACAGATATTATAATACTTTCGAAAATGAACAGAAGAACACATGTACAGTTAACTGTAAATTATTGGCAGGTAGATAAAGTTGTGCTATATATTTTCTTGTCATTTAGAGTGGTGCCAAATAATTAAAAGAAAGCATCAGTCCACAGGAAATTAATACTCATTTTTCTCTTTCCTTTACAAATCCTGCTTTTCGCTCTTTTTTTGTTACAAACCAAGCATTACAGTGTATTTTCGAATAGCAAGTAAAAGTAAACAAAAACGTCATTTTTCTCTCTTCAGCGTAAACAGCTTAGGTTTGCGTCCTTCAAAATAAGACAGAGATTAGGTGGCATCAGCAAAGCAAGCAGTAGGCGTGGTTTCTTATGCTGTGAAAGCCAAGCACCCAAGGTATCCAATCACAAGAGCGCTGGCATAAATGGAGACAGAAGAGGACAGCGGGGAGGTAGCTCCTTTAAAAGAAAGAGCTGAAAGAAAAAAGAACCTTTTATTAAGCCTAGTCACCTCAACGATTATAAAGGGAATGTAAAAACCGTGGATCAAGGGTGAAATTTACCGTTTTCCGGAAGGGTTTTTTCTACCAACCATATGTAAATATATCTGTAAGTGCAATTTTCTTTGTGTCTGGCTCGCCTTGATCGATCATTTCTGGGAATTTTGCTAATGAACACTTCCTGTAATATTAATTGCTGAGAGAAATACACTACAATACAATATGCTGTTAGCTGATCAGTACTTATTGTTATTCATTCAAAATTCTTCTCCGTTTAGGATTGGCTTTGATCCCCATCTAATTCTTCATAACCATCAAACGTTGACAGAATTTGGAAGTTCTTTGCCATTATCAAGAGAAATGACTCACTTTTACGGATAATTTGACAGACAAAATGAATATCAGAATGCGTAGTCTCCTATGCACCCGTTCTTTGATCGTCATGTAACGCTCGGGGGAGGGTTGCGTGACAACACAAAGAACGGCTGTTGGTTGGAGAATGGAGACCACAAAATGCGCGGTAGCTCAGCTGCTTTGGTACTAAGAACTACAGAAAATGCCGCCTTTATGCGAAGAAAAAGCCGAAATACTGCCTAATATGATAGCAGGAATAGCAAATAAAAACACTCGGCGGACAAGAACTACTTTTTGTAAAATATATGCTAGTCTAAACATTCCTTTATACTCTCAACCTGCAAAGGAAGAGGCAAATGTTATGAAGACGAGGAAGCCCCCACCCCCCTCCACCTTGACGTTTTGGGACCCCTCCCCCCAAAAAATAAACAAACGACGCTGCAGTTGCAAATGAAAGTTCCTTGCAATTTGTTTCGGAGATCAACTCATAGACAAATTCTTAAGCCTAAGAGTGAGTTAAGCACAGATATATACCATTATCGGAAACTAAAGCTCTGGCCATGAGGAAGGCTAATTTTGTTAGCCAAAATATTGACCCCAAATAAATCAGCCCTTTGCTGTATTGCCAGCCTTGCCTTCCATCATTTGAAGAGGAAAATAAAAAAAAACTATGAAAAAGTTTTGTTTTAATTTCCACTCCAAACGACGTCTAGCTCTTGCATCTAGAATTCCAGCAAGAAAGAACCAGTCGGTTTTATTTACGGGTTGATTGGTCTTTGGCATTCAAAGATTTTTACCATTATCGGGTCCTAGCTTTGTAAAAGGCACCTCACCTTTTACGCACTTTCCTTTTGCTGCCATGGACTTTGTGTATCCCTTTTTACATCTGCATATTCCGTCGTGGCACATCTCGTGCGCATTACACTTGACGTTGACACATTTAGCTACGATGATGAAAAAACAAGTCATTTCAATATAATGGTATAAGGGGAAACACGTAGTCTAGCGTTTGTGATGTGTGATTTCTTTTACATTGTTAGGAAGGCTTTGGCATCACGCATGTGCAAGACGTGTTTAAAGTACTCCGGTAACACGTATTGCACATGATACTCGATGTCAAACACAAAGTTGACTCTACTGAATGATCCTGACAGGGGATGCGCAAAACTTCCTTTGAATGGGTCACTGCGAACACAAGCCCAGCGCAAAGGATGTTGTTGAAGAAGTGCAGTGATGTAGAGAAAACAAAAAGTAAAAAACTCGCTTATTCAATACTCCGTCCAATTTTTAAACAAAGTATTTCGCCACAATCCAATCGACTGTGTGTTACCTTCTTGTCGTGCAGTTGTTACGGGGTTTGAGCAACGACGACGGCGACGACAACGAGAACGGCAAAAAACTGCAGCACATTTTTTAACATATATTTTTCGTCGCTGTTGAGCAACTATGGCGTGAAAGTGTTCAATTTTTCGTTTAGTGGAGGACATGAACTCACCTAGCCTGTTCACAGACCCTCTATTTTCTCTTCTAAGTCCTTCGAGTGCGCGTGATAAAAAAAAAGACCGCGACGGATTTATTGACCGCCAGCGCAAGGAGGTAATGGTGGGGGAAGAACAAAATAGACGGTCAGTAAACATCTTTGGAAGCAACTGAAACTTGTCTTTACCACGAAAAGCAAGTTACCATTGGCTGAGCGGCGATTATCCTGTCATCATCATGTCAACGACTAATCTTTTTCGCACTCAGCGTTGGCTCTTGCGCTCGCCAATGTTTTCGAAAAGAACGAAAAGAGAAATAAAGCAACGTCTGTGTACAGGCTAGAACTCACCAGGCTTACAGCTACCGGCATTTTTGATGTATCCGTCTTTACAGAGGCATTCAAATTTTCCTGGCACGTTTACGCATTGTTCATTCTCAGCGCATGGGTTTTGAGTGCATTCGTCTAAATCTGAAAAATATGCATGTTATAGAGCAGATTCTACTACTGATAACCGGCCCTTAACAATTAAAATGTGGAGATGATAGGCGATAGCCGTATTTGTAATCTCACCAAATCACAAATTTTACAAATGACACTGCATATTAGCCAGCAGTCATCCACTATCATACCAATTTCCGTCGGACAATAATGAGAAAAAAAACCACATGGGGTGAACAAGAGACCTATGCTTCCTAAACAATTTCAGCAACCCAATTCTCACCAGTACCAGATCCCATCTCTTTTTTTAAAGCCAGGGAGCTGAGTTCGAGTTTACTCCAACCAAAAGGAGATTGAGTACATCTCAGCTCACAGTTCTCGAGCTGCTTTGAAACCCCCTATCCAGTGATACAATTTACTCTATTTCTCGGGTAAAATGGTGTCAAAATCATAAAATGATCGTAAGAATAGCAGGCTGGTACGAGAAAACAGTTTGAATGAAATTAAGCACTTATACCTTCACAAGTCCGTTCCTGATCGTCTCCTTTAAGTACGTAGCCTTTCTTCTTGCAGCCGCACACGTGAGATCCATTCTTTTGTTTTAGGCATTTGAGAGTCGGAGGGCAAACATCACCTTGAATTCTGCACTCGTAAATGTCATCAGCTAGCATGTATAATATATCGAGCAAGTATTAGACTTAGATTCTGAAATCTGCTCACATACCCCTTACCCCTTCTCTAACCTAAAACAGTGCACGTGATAATGTTAAGGTTGGGTTAAGGGAGGGGTAGGTGGTCAATTTCGCAGAATTGTAGGATCAGTGTAAGATCCTGGACATTTACCCACCTACCCCTGCCCTTACCCATTACTTCGTCCTAAAGAAGATTTTAGTGTCAAGGTTGGCTTAGGAGAGGGTTAGTAAAGTATACTCTGAGTTTTTATTTGGGTTTGTCTCTTAGTCAGGGATCATTAGTTCTTTTGGATTCAGTGGTTTCAATTGTCTGAGCAAATTAAAGTGCTTAATTAAGTGCAATTCCGTTTATTTTGAAAAACATATCCACTGTTTGTATCATGCCGATCGAAGGAAAAGTGCACACGTTTTTCAATAAGATTGATTGAATTTCAGTTTGTGATTACATGCTTTTTGGAAAATGCTTGTTGAAAATATCGTGAAAACTATACCTTCACAAGTCCTGTTATCTCCTTCTCCTACTACCTTTAAGCCAGCATCGCAGCCACATGCGAAAGTTGCGTTCTCTTGTTCTTGGCACTGCAGAGGAAATGGACAAGCATCTCCTGCCTTTTCGCACTCGTCCAAAGCTGGGAAAATTGTTTGAAAGAATACTTTAGTTACTCGGCGATATTTACGGTTTAAACCCAGTCCAGTCCCTTCTGAGTTGTCTCAGGATGCGTGGGATCATGTCAAACTTTCAAGGAATGGTGTTTACTACTCGGGTACACGGCTCTCTCTTAAGAGATATATATTAATCATTTGTGTAGTTGATAGTCTGCTGCGAGCTCAGCTGTAAAATCTCTATTCCGGCCAACGGTGGGAAACGATAAGAGACCATTCATCGACCATTTTGAAGTTGCGCTCGTGGAACTGGCTCGATGTTGTTTCGAATTGCACCACGGGACTCTCTCCGTGAGGGACCAGTTTTGACTCAACTTCCTGCGCAAACTCATAATAGCGGAGCTCGCGCGCGCAGCGGAGCGCCATCCGGGATATCCTCCTACGTCATGACATAATGTAAAATGCACGTGGAAGAGCGATTACGAGTAAATTTCCACAACGCAAGCAGATGATAAACGAGGTGAGTTTTTAATTGCTTTTTTCATTTTCAAGATGTTTTTATTGCTTGTAGAAGTATTCATCAGGGTCTCGTACTGGTTTAGTGATGAATCTCGAGGAAAGCGAGAGATTCTCTACATACTTCCATGATTGATACATCTTTCAGCATCATTATTTATATTTTATAAAGCTGTATTTTTTGCTTTGGCGCTTTCAAAACGCCTGCATTAGAAACGTATATTTATAACGGGAGAGGAAGTTACTTGTAAACAAGGCCATGATGATATAGGTATGGGAAAATTTTAAAATAAAATAACTTTAGTATGAGGAACCAGAAGGTAAATGCTCAGATATATACCAAGGCACATGCTAAAAACAAAATCTCTACCTGAATGTTTGAGATTCAAACTCTGCGTAAAATCACTCGCACGGAGGAATGTAGTGCGCACTAATTTGAAAGAATTAGCCGGGGGAACGTCAAAACAGTGAAGTTCGTAGGCGCGGTTCAGCTTGGAATTTGAAGGCGTTGCATACAGTAAATGAATTTTAATGAAAGTTTGACATGTTACTTTTCACATCACGAAGGTTATGTGAGAAATTTTTTAAAGAATTCTACTGAACTGTTTTTGAGATGTATGGAAGAGCTTGAATAATCAATAGGAGTTTGCATAAATTTGCACGTGGAAATTAGTGTAGAAAAAGGTTTGTTTCCAAGATCGCGACCAAATTTCCTAGAAATGCTATTAAAGAGTAAATTGAGTTATTTAAAACGTGATCTTTTATCACGTCTAATGAAGATATACAATTTAAAAATATATTTTCGTTTTATTTGAATTCAACTACTCAGAGGTTTTTATTCTCAAGGAGGCTACTTGCCAAAAACTTCACTTTATAATCCCGACATTGAATTTTCATTTGCAGGTAGAGATCGCACAAAATTCGTCTTTCAAAGAGTTTTGTTTATCGTTGTCATGGTAATATCGATTTAAATTATTATAAATGAAGTTACTTTTTGACAAATTCCAGCCCAAAGTACCTCTAAGTGGTGAAAGTTTTATAGCGATTGTAAAAATTCAAAACATCTCTGGTCTCCGAAAAACTGAGTAGAAACACCTTAACTTTCATTGTTACATAGCCCCTGCTCTTAAATTGATGAAGAATTGTACCTTGACAAGTCCTGTTATCTCCTTCTCCCACTACTTTTGAGTCAGCATCGCAGCCACATGCGAAAGTTCCGTTCTCGTTTTTCAGGCAAAACAGTTCAGATGGACAAACCTCTCCTGACTTGTCGCACTCGTCCAAGGCTGGAAAAATTGTGTCAAAAAGCTGAATACTTAGGGCCGGTTATTTAAAGGAAGTCTAACTTGAGCCACGGTTCAACAAATCTTTGGACCTCCAGGTCTCATCTTTAGTCTGTTATCAGTAAGAAGATAATGCTTTTCTGGTCTACTCTATATGCTTTCATAAAACTTTTCACAATAAATGGTGTTTAGATAAAACCATAGGGCCCATAGAAAATGGCTTAGAACGCGCTTTAATTAATCACTGGCTAAACTACGGTTAAATAACTGGCCCTGAGTCGCCACTCCAAGCCCTCAGCTTAACACACGTAGTTTACACCAGTGACAAGATTTCCATCGTTCTTAGTTCATATACAAGTTAGTTATCGATTGTTTAACTGGAATAGTCATAAATTAAGTAATTAAGCCAAGTTGTTTTAGGCATCTTGATTGTCCCTTTTGAAACCATGGCAAAATTAAATAAAATGAAGTGGAAAAAATCTCGAACAGAAGATGAATGCAGAAACACTACAATGGAGGCAAATCGGATTGCATTCAAACGTGAACACAAAGCGCCAACTATTTTTTTGTTAGTTTGCCTTACCTACAATGGCTTTATCTAACCTCGTTTCCAGGGTCTTCTCCTACTCGGCTCACGGGGGTCGAGTAGGAGAGGGAACGAGGTTGGGCTTCGTGGAGTAATTAAGTTTTTTTTCAACCATTCATAAAGCAAACAGAAATAGGCATGGTCACTGGGACAAAACCTGTGACTGCCAGGTCCTTTAGAAATAATCTGTACCTTGACAAGTCCTCGCATCTCCCTCTCCTACTACCTTTGAGTTAACATCGCAGTCACATGCAAAAGATCCGTCCTCTTGTTTCAAGCACTGTAGCGCAGATGGACACACCTCTCCTGCCTTTTCGCACTCGTCCATGGCTGAAATGATAATGCATTGTCGTGAGAAATTCTTTCATTCTTCAACTAACTTTGCCCATGCTCATCACAAATCGACAGCAATTCCATTGCTTTTTCCTGCGAACTCAAATTTTTAGCAGCAAATATATTTGACGACGCGCGCATTTCTCCTCTCCTCAAAGCTGCCAGAATTGAACTCTGACTATATTTGTCATTACACATTTTACTAATAGGACTCTTTACGTATTTTTATATATTGCTGAAGGCAAGTTTATCGAACGAGACTATGAGGTGTATGAGCACTTTTGACATTTAAGGCAATTTAGCTCTACGAGATTTTTTGTCTTGTTATAATATATAAGTTCATTCGGATAAAATGAGGTTAATAAAAGAAACAAGCGTTCTTTCAATTAACGTGTTTTTCGAAACAGCTGAGAATTGTGGGACTTAGGGCGACCCGCAACATCTTACATTTTGTTAGAAGCCATCAGCTAAATAATAATGATTATCGTACCTTTGCAGGTCCTTCTGTTTCCGACTCCCACAATCTTAAAACCAGGATTGCACCCACATTCATAACCTTGTTTCTGCTTCAAGCACTTCAGAGCAGGGGGGCAATTAAGTCCTTTCTTTTCACACTCGTTCATTGCTAAAAAAACGTCATCAATTAATAAAGGCATCAGATGTCACTTAACATCCCAGGAAATGTCAGAGAATACATACAATATTTGTCGCATGGTGGACAAATTTAGTCTAAGTGGAGTCGTAAAAAGATAGCAGTTTTGACCCTGAAGCCTCTAAGTTATGATAGCTTTTGATATATAAAACGTTGGCTATTCAACCGCCTTGTTTGATTCACGTTCAATAATGTCGGTCAAAGTACTCGTCCATAAACCAGAAAACAAGAAACTCAACAACAGTCTGATGCGTAGACTGGGGCGTGGGACATTTTGTTATTATAACAGGTTGAGGCTGAATCGGGGTGTTCTTTTTTAACGGTTCAGAATTTCACACTTAAGTCCAGTTTCAGACCTGAGCCTCGCGAATTGTGAATCGCATGAAAAACAGCTGGAATTGCCTTTTCTCTGCTGAACGGTCAAGTTTAATAAAGTTGCACTAAATTGCCTTCGGTATTTCTGTTCGAGCAAATTTCATTAAACGTGTAGCTTAAATATTTGTAATCAACTGATTATTTTTTAACTAATTCAGCTCATTCTCATTCCAATTATAAGCGTTAAAATTGATTAAACAGTTCTCGTACCTTTACAAGTCCTGGCGTTCCCGCCTCCCACAACCTTAAAACCAGAATTGCACCCACATTCATGACCTTGTTTCTGCTTCACGCACTTCAGAGCAGGGGGGCAGTTTAGTCCTTTCCTTTCACACGCGTTCATTGCTAAAAAAATCATTTATCGAATCTGTTATTAGTTTCCCGAGAGCGCAAAAAAGACCATTTCTGAAGCCGGAAAAAGTTCGGTCTAGTGAGTGAATGGAAGTCTCATTTACGGCACCCGGTGAGCATCGGCCTCCCCGGGGGGTGGGGGGGAAGTTACTTGGGGTATTTTTTTTCTAGGTATGTGCCGCTGGCCTCTCAGAGCCCCTACCCCATTATGGTCTAGTCTGTGGCCAAATATGGACCCCATCTTAGTCACTTTTGAGAAAATGTAATTCAGTTTGCGATCCTAACTTAATAACTTTCTGTTTGTGTATCTACTTTAAAATGTTATATCCGGAAATGAATTGACACATTGTTTAAGGTTAATAAAATAAAAGTCTTCCCATCTTTAAATCCTGAATTTTCTGATCCCCCAATCCCGAAAATGTACGATCCCGTTCTAGTAACTCTGATTAAAATGCAACACCATCCAGCGGCACATCCCAATTAGCCTATTACTAGGAAGTACCCCCCCCCCCCCTCCACGGGATCGGCTCACGATCAATTTACCAAAGGGATTACGAAGTACTAATACCTTTACACTTCCTCTTGTTTTCTTCTACAACAACCTTGAAACCAGGATCGCACCCGCATACAAAGTTATGCCCCTGTTTGACGCACTTCAGAGCAGGGGGACAATATAGTCCTTTCTTTAAACACTCATTTGTTGCTTTAAAATAAACAGTCATTAATTAAATGCATAGTCATACGTTTTCTAGAGAACTGGGGAATGTGTGGAGAAATGACAAACAAATTCAGTCTGAGTGAATACCACGCACGACTCTATTTTATTTTAAGACCGACAAACCAGTCAGAAAACTGTCCCCACCCCCCCCTCCCCACTGAAGCAGTGAATTTCGCCTTTTATAGGCCACACCCATTTTCCAACCGAACCTAACCCCCTCCCCCCCTCACTGAAGGTCTGAATTTTGCCCTGTGACCAGACCAAAACTGGCCTGTAATGTTTTGACATACGTCTACTGGGGAACTTCCCAGTAAGTCAGGTTGCAGGTTTTGGGTGCACTTTGCTGGCTGGGAAATCTTCCATCAGTCTTGCTGGGAGTGAGGACGAGATAAATTTTCCCCAGCAATCTCCCAAAACGCTTAAAATGGCTTCGGAAAGCTTTATTCATGCTTTGTTGTTGTTTCTCAAAATTTCCCTTTGGGTACTCCTGTAGCCTGCGAAAACATCCGTTTCTCCTCGCTCTTCGCCGCTGGGGACGTTTCGCACGGAGGAACGTCTGCGACTCAACGACAGAAATTCCATACTGATGATGCAAAGCAATGTTTACATAATAAATCCGGTAGTCATGGGCCTCCAAATGTAAATTTGTCCAGTTTTACGTGTCTTATGGTCGATTTTGGAAAAATGTTGTGTTCATCTGCCAACGAGCTCCAGCAAAACTCAAATGCTTCTTCTAGAGAAGACTATATTCCACAAATATTGACTGTTTTGTCAGAGATTCTCTGTGTTTAGATTTGACCTTTTTGGCCTTTTGTCTTTTGTCTGTCATTCGTAAGCAATAACTAAAACAATGTAACTACTCCGCTGACCAATCAGCGCTTCTGACCGGATTCCGGACAGATTTTACGTCATCAGTATGGAATTTCTGTCGCTGAGTCGCAGACGTTCCTCCGCGCGAAACGTCCCCAGCGGCGAAGAGCGAGGAGAAACGGATGTGTTCCCAGGCTAGTGCTCCTGTTGAGCGAGGGTCTTTCAAATATGGAGTTTGGTGAGACAATATCAAGGCTGTCAACCCCCCACGTCTTCAAATATTGAGAATTGATGGGGAAGGGATGATTAATGACGTCATAATGCACGCGGCACATGACATCATTTGTGAAAAAAAAAACACGCGAAAAAGATGTTGTTGGAATTGTAACATTTGACCTAACTGGCTTACTTCCCCCCAATCACATTATTGCTTATATTACAATGGCATAGCGGAGTTTGTGTGGAAACGTTCGATGTCAACAGTAAAATAGCACAAAAAAACGCAAAGTATTTGAATGAAATTCATTGCCAGAAAGTCGATTCTACAAGAAATGGCAAACCTCGGCGATTATCTGGGAGATTTCAGACTCTAATCTAGAGACCGGGAGAAACTGTTCAAAATCTAGAGTCTCCCGGATTATCCCGGAGAGTTGACAGCCCTGCAATATGTCAGAGGGATGGCTACGTAATGTCAGCGACATTTCGTTGAATTCTAATAAAACCTGCACTGGTTAGCAACACGGGGGAAGTTTGGACAAAATATTGCATTTTTGGTGACAATTCTCTTGAAAATTGGAGTTTTGTCGGATAAACATTCCAAAGATATAACATGTACAGACACAGTTAAAAGTCTATAAATAAAAGTCAAAATGACCCTCGCAGTTGAATAAACAACCTAAGATGTTAAAAAAGAACCTGAAAATTTCAGGCTTGACCGGGAATCGAGCCCTGACCTTTGCGATGACCGGACACAATGCTCTATCTATATCCAGTCTTCATGAATTGACAATAAAGCTAATCTTCTAGATCCTTAGTTTTTGACATAGATGCTCTAAGAGTTCTTTGATCAATCAAAATATCAAGATCAAGAGAGTCTCCCCGTCCCCTGTTTCTGAATTTCTGAATCTACCCCGTTGAGGTCACAGATATAATGACTGAAAAATAATAGTATTTTATGTAAAAATACTTTGGTACCTAATGAAAAACTATTAAAGCACCAGTCCTTCCCAAGAAACAGTTGTACAAATGCGATCCTTTTTGCACTTTTGACATAACCCCACTCTTGATACAAAACTATGTAAAAAGGTCTTGAGACCCATTCCTTATCCCAGTGTTGAGACCCTTATAACATTTGCCACCAGTACCGTATTACATTTGGCACCCTTATTGCATTTAACACATGTTATTTCCCTCGTTATTACCTCAACATGTCCCCTCGGTTACCTGTGCATTTTTTCGCGGGATTCCCAATAAAACCGTCTCCGCATTTGCAAACGACCTTCCCCCGGCGAGGAGGGCCTTTCCTCAAGCACACAGAGTGCTGTGACAAGCAGCCAAATCTTTTTCTGTTGACAAGTGGGTGACAGGGACTAAACCCACCTAAAATTGAGAATATAGAAAGAGAAACATATTAAATAATATTTTATTTCATCACAGTATTTTGAGTCGCAAAAAGTAGTTTCATTCTTGGCGAATTCTGTGATGTGGACAACGGAAATTAAGGGGGGGGGAGTATAGAGGCGCAGGCGTGTGTTTTTTGGTTGTTGGTTTTTTTTCTACAAATGCACCTTTTCGAAATTTATTTTTAAACTTTTTACTAACATCAAATAGTTATCGCTAATTCTTTGAAACTGTTTACGAAGGAAAAATTTACAGTCGGCATATTTGAAAAGTTTTTGAGTGATTTGTTGAAAACTAAAAAAGTTATATAACCCGGCACAAGTTATATCACTTGTGGCACAAGTTCCATTGATATAGGGGAGTTTTGGGGGCTCCAGCTTGCCCTTACCTCACCCTAGAGAGTTCTTAACAAATTTCACGCCTTTGCTGAACATCTTCGCTAATTCTAAGGCGCTGTTCCTAGCAATGTTGAAGGATAATATTCGTTAACTCCTGACCCTTAATAAACATTGGAAGGGTCTTTGGCAGACTTTTCTACTTTATTATTCAGCCAAAAGTGGTTCCCGGGTTTAAAAGCTCTCTGATTTATTTATCCATCAGAAAATTAGTGTTAATATGCAGTGTCCACTTTTCTGTAAATCGTACAAAAAATTTTAGCTTCTTTTTATCGCAAATGACGATATCCAGCAACAATCTCATCATTTCGGGTTTTCCCTTTAGGTGCAACAAAACTTGAAAAGTAAATTTTGTAGTTTAATAAACTTTTAATTCGTTCGTGTTTTAGATCAAGGTCCATCTTCTCTTAACATTCCTGGCTACATCTATCTTCCTCAGGATCATCTCACTAACACACCTAGACGAAGATGCTAAAAGATGTTTCAGGTGTTTTATACCTTCGCATTTATGCTTTCCATCTCCGTAATGCCAGCCCTGACACGCACAGTGGTTCAACAGACACTTTGCTTGTGGATGACACTGTCTGTCTGAATTACAGTTACCTGCAATGAAAAATATTCCTCTTTACTACATAAAGACCGATGAAATACCAGGTGAGCTCTCGCGCGAAAATATGATAACTTCACACGTTAAAATAACATGTTATCTTCACAGTTGAAAAGTTCACAGCAACAATGGCTACATAATAAATCACGCGTTTCAAAGCAAAAAAAAAACTATTAACGCGAAAACGGTTTATTATTTTATTGGTGCTTAAATAATAAATAGAACTACGCTCACTTGTAAAACATTATTGAACACTCGAAGAGAAATTTTGTATCTTCGCTCGGCCTTGTAATATCCTCAGAGCAGGAATCTGCGAGATGTAAACTTGTCGCTCTTAAGTATTTTTAGAGTTTTAATTGTTCCCGTTGTTTTAGAATTTTTTGTTTGTTTGTTTGGGAGTTCGCTCCTCCAAAGTTTGACACAGTCATACATGAACCAGGGGCACCCAACGTCAATTTTCAGAAAATGTCTGTTCGGAAGACGATTTGAGATCTAGAATTTTCGGAACATTTTTTGGTAAAATTCTTGCTTGTTTACCTCTCCTAGGATTTTCGAACGTCTAAAAAATGGTATAATTGCTCCTTTTTAACGGATTTTTACCCTAAAAAGGTCACCTAGAATTTTCGGGAGTCTTTTTTCTGGCTAAAACTTTCGAAAAGGTAATTTTTGATCCCTATAATTTTCGGATCACTAGACTTTCAGCTAGGAAATCCGAACAGATGAAAAATTTGTAGGGGATAAAAATATGCCAATATCTACCGTTCAAATACTAAAATACGTTAAACAAGCTATGTTTAAGTGGTTTTGAACTATACACTCGTTGGGTGCCCCCGATGAACACCGCTTTACAGACACCTACTTAATATGGACACCTCATCATTGCGGCCAGTTTACTTTGTGTCTGAGAAAAGAAAGCCTTTACATTTTCTCTAAATTCAGCCCACTTATTACGGACACCCTTTTACTATGAACAAGTTAACGGGGTTTGGTGTGATCATTATATATTAGCAAGAATCTGATGGTTCATATTATACGTGTAATTTGAGTTTCCCGGCTTTTCACCTTGGCTGTGACTCAGAGTGTTTTATATTTGACTACTCAGTGTCCACTGTGAAGGAAAAAGATCGAAAAAATTCAAAAAGACAATGATTAAAAACAACGCAATTGAAAGCAACATGCTTTGAAGAGGCATACTTTCTTGCCTGTTAAAGAAAACCTTGGCTTAAGCCATTTCAGGGGGTCTAGTTCACAGCGGTACCTACTGAATCTTTGATGACATACTTTACTTTTGTGGGGGTGGTAAACATTGTTTTGTCCCTCCTTTATTGTGTCCTTGTTTCTGTTAATTTTGACAGTCAATCAGTTAATATGTGTTCGTGTGGTATATGCTAAGTTTTGATAAGTGTTATCCTTACCTCCAGCGACACTCTTAGGGTATATAAAAAGGAAGCAACAAAAGACTCCAAAAACAATGGACTTAGATAGCCAACCCATCCTGGACTAGCACATCATTGCGATAGTCTCCTACAAACGTACGTATTGCCAGGGTAGATGGTGTTTAAGGCCAAGATAGAATGAAAGCACGAGTCATTCAAGCAAAGAAGTCAGGTTGCTTACAATTACGCGTCACAAATCAATTATAATGTTTTAGAACGACAATAATCCATTGTGCACGCGCCATGCCTCCATCTTACTTAAAAAACAATTAAGCCTTTTATTGATTTATTTAATTCTATTCTTAAATGATCAGGTGTCAAAAACAAACGAGCGTTTAATTGCGCTTATCATTCATTCAAAATATTTCCCCATTCTGATCGGCTTAAAGCACACGCATAATTCACCATAACCAGCTACTGATGACCAAATTTGGAAGAATTTTGCGTTTAATGAATCGATGATGTCAAAACTGCAGCCTTCTTGCGGGTTCTTGCGGGTTAATGCACCGTTAACCGAGAGGACCTGAGGACGAGGTTGAGTTGTTTTGGTTGTGAAGACAAAAATGGCGGACATTTCAAGATTAAGAACTAGGCGAAATAATAGCTAAAAACATGGCAAAAACAGAAAGAAGACAACTCGGAAGGCGACATGTGCTATTTGAAGAATATTTGCGGAGCTGGACAACCCTAAACGTGCACTATCGAAGATGAACTTAACATCGGTTTTAGCTACGTTTTTAAACTAGGAATTACTTTGACTGAATAATAAAACAATTATTGAATTCGGCTTTCGTATCATGTGAAGAATTATGGAGATCTCGGAGGGTGTTATCCTCCTTGGCCTACGGCCTCGACGGATAACACCCTCCTCGATCTCCATAATTCTTCATAAGATACTAAGCCTCATTCCTTAATTGTTAATTAAATGGAGTCAAAACTAAATGTGGAATTGCGCAGAAATGTATCCTGCTGATGAATAGTCAGGACATATTTCGGAGCAGTAATTTGCAATTTGGAGATTGCCCTCTTCCAATATTTTGAACCAATTTTATATACTGGTCAACATTTTCATTCTAGTATTGAGGTACGTGAGTGGGTCTACCAGCGCTTGGGTTGTCGACGCAAAAAGATTTAGGGGACATTTTCCAAACATAATATCAAATCCATACCAACCCTGGGGTGTTTTTGCGGCTTATTCCCGACCGGTGTTTACGGAAAGTACCGTTTAGTCCAACTTTTCATTTTGAAAAAAATTAATTTTCATCTGCAAGGACTTAAGATCCGTAAGGAAGTATGGCTATACCCTGGCATTGCCGATATGGCCCGGACGTCCATACTCGGCAGATACGTGCATATGGCTAGAAAAATAAGGGGTGTCGACCCTCTGTTAGATTGACGCCTTTTTAACGGTAACTTAAAATAATAGTTATCTATAAATATTTTAACCCTAATGTCTAACAGATCCAGATTACGTGATTTAACGTAACTGATCTAGACGTAACTACTGCTCTTTCGATCCTTTGGAGTGTCGGAGACTAAAACCCGTCCTACTTGTCAGTTTGTGGATAAGACTGAAGGATGAAATCTGGCTCTTTGCTTATTAAAGGTGTTTATTAAGGCTAATCATTGAATATGCAACACCCATGATAGAAGTTTTGGTATTTAACAGATGTTATTCTTCGTTTCTTCTGTGGACTACTCGTTTATCATGAATTTTATCCTTGCATATAAAGAAGTGATAAAGATTTATCTTGAGTTATGTAGACGTAACTTCTGTTATCTTGATCCTTGGAGTGTCAGAAGATAACACCCTGTCTACTTGTCAGTTTGCGAATAAGAATTAAGGACGAAATCTGGCTTTTTCCCTGCAGGGTAAAGGTATCTATAAAGTACAGTCAAAGAATATGCCACGCCCAATATTGCATTTTTGATATTTGACAGGGTGATATTTTTGTTTTTTTTTCTGCTGTAGATGACTCTAATAGTATTTGACAACAAGTTAAAACAACAAAGAAAAGAAGTTTTGCATAGCAAAGCAATGTGATTTTATTGAAATACGTTTAAGCTTTATTACCAAAACAACAACATAAGATTTATTACCAAATAAAAGTTAACTTAATTTACAATATAATATATTAATACAAAAAAGGTAACATTTACTCAGAATAACTGAAAAGCTAATCGAGCTGAGTAAAGCTAAATAACGTTCAGGCATAGGAGGTAAGTTGGCACTAAAGCTAGAACAAACAAGAAATTAGTAAATGGATAAAAGGAAAAAAATGACAAAGAAAAAAAAAAGAAAGAGGAGAAAAAAAAAATATATATAAATACCAATTAAAGACTCACGAACAATAATGTCATCTTTTGTACATTCTCAATCGTTCGATCGTTAACAAGTACAAAAAGTAAACAAAGTGTATTTTCGGATACGTCTGCAGTCACAGGCTGCAAAATTACCCAGTCCACTCCTGTTTGAATTGGAATAAGATCCACAAGATCCGAGGGCGTTTTTGCAATAACCGAGTTCTGTCAATAATTGTTTTATCATTCGGTGACCGAGTTTGCTTTTTAATGAATATCTGCCATGTTGCCATTTTTAGGCAAAACCGATCTCAAGAAGGAGAAAACGTGGTCTCATTTGCGCATGAGCAGAATATTATTTGCAGCCAAACACAGTTGGACGACATTGCCCATGAGCAGAACATTGTTTGTTGACAGTTATTTGCTCGTCACGTGTTGGGCTCTCCGCCAATGAAAAGGAAGAAAAATTTGCATCGAATCATAAATAACTATTGTTTTCAAAGTTTTTCTGACACATGTAAGTCAGTAACTTTTAATGTTCAGGGAATCATAGCACAATCTGTTCGACGTCTTTGTCGATAAAATCTTTATTTCAAAACTTCGTACATTACAGTCCTGCTTTTTCGAACCTCCAAAGGAAATGAAAATTTGTTTGAAAAATAAGAACGGTAGAGGTGTACGGCAAGATAAGAGTGGTTTCTCTTCATTGGATTGGTTGAGCGTGTAGTCTTTAATGTACCGCCATAGTAACAGGATTACTGATTGGAGGATTAAACTGTACTGTATATATCAACTAATGCCTGTTCATTTAAGTCCGACCGTGCTTATATCCCTGTCAAACCTCCTCTAGCAATTTTATATTGCAGTTCAATTTTTCTCTCGTTATAAAGACATCTCTTGAAGTCTACAACTGGGGAGGCTAGCTGGCAAAGCTACAAACAAATTCTGTTTTGATGTTGACATGATTGCATTTCCGTTGAACCTTACCACTGCAATCATTTTTAAGTGCCAAACATTAAACTGAGAAGGCTTTCTGTCCATCCCATGGTTATCAAAATACGTTTTAAACTAAAATGCCATTGCCACCAAACCCCTGGGATCCCCTGTATGGTATCTTGGGGTGTTAAAAATATAGCCATTTAAGGAAGTCCGGAACAAAGGTTTTCAACCTAAAATCCAGGTTTCAAATCTAGGGTGAACAGCTCTAGTTTTACTAGACGACAAGCTGAAACAGCACAGAAAACAAGCATGTTTTACACAGCAAAGCCCAGCAATTTTATTGAAAAAGAGACGTTTATCACAATGTTATAGTAACGTTTGAAAACTTCAGATACGGAAGTACACATATATTTTCTTGATCAGTTTGATTAGAGTTCTTAATCCGCTTTGATTTAGAAAAACAATCGTCTCACCCAAAAATGAATGCAAAACAGTCACTTGATTTTTTTTAAAGAAGAAAATTAGAACAACCGTCAAGAAACCAACCAAAGTGTTTTATTCTTAAATCAAAACCAGTCTTATCATCATTACTGTAACTTGAAAATCCTGTTTTCTGATTTTTTTTTATCGCAAAGAGAAAAGTCGTCAACAAACTGAAGATTATTTTCATTCCAGCAAAATTTTTGAAAATTAGCGTCAGAAGTTTCTTTCCTGGTTTAAACATTATAGTTTTTCATTCTGTAAAATAAAGTAAAAGTTTAGTTGCATCAGTAAGGTAAACAGCAGGCGCGGTTCCTTATGCTGTAAAGGTGTCCAACGTATCCAATCACAACAGCGCCGCCATAAATGATGACAGAAGAGGACTGGGGCGGGGAGGCTCCTTTAAAAGTAAGGGCTGGAAGAGAAAAAACTTTTTAATCACGTATATTTACCTCCGAGTGCTTATAGAAATAATGAGAAAAAAAACTGTGAATCAAAGGTCACACTATCAGACGATAGCACAGGACAGTAAGTTGGCTGGTTAGAAGAAAGTTAAGTCATATTGTAGTCGGAAATGAAAAAAAGTTTCTTGCAAATTTATCCATTTGCACATCTCCAATACTACACGTTGCCTGCCCCATGACATTCTGCATAAACAGGGGAGCTTTTGTTTTGGGGGGGGGGATGGGGCAAAGAAGGTGTATTATAGGAGTCGCGCAAGTGGCCAACGAGTCGGAGACTGAGTCTAGAACTTATTGGGTCTTGGAACTTGTTGTATGTATGTTAAAGGGTGGACTCGGTAAAGCGCAGTTTGTTGCAGTCAATCCTCACCTTTTACGCAATTTCCTTTGGTTGCCTTGGACTTTCTGTATCCCTTTTTGCATCGGCATATTCCGTCATGGCACCTCTCATGCGCTTTGCACTTGATATTGAGACATTTACTCGCTACGATGAAAACGGAAGACATTTTATACTAAGTCAAAAGTAAACCAGGTTAAGTAGAGATATAACATCTAGAGAATTTGTATGTTTATATTGAGCTTAAGGGTTAAACATACTTATTTAATCTAGAAAGTACAAAAAGTCAATAGCCAGTTTTTATCACGTTTCCCTGATTCGATTAATAGGGAGCTTTAGCATCGACGACGGCAACGGCAGCGAAAACGTCAGTTTTAAAATGAATTCCCGTTTATCAATCTTTGGCGCGTTTATTCCAATTTGCTGAAAATGGCAAGTGTAGACGAATTTCCCTGGAGTTTATTCCTTGAGGACCGCACTGAAGTTTAGAGAGAGAAAAAGAAATTCGTCGTCGCTTGTGTACGTCCTCCATAAAACTTGCAATTAGGAATTTTCACGTTGTAGTCGTACAAAGTCGGTAAAGAAATGAACAAAAAAGCGTGATGCACGTGCAAAGTTGTTGTTTTGCGTAATAAACCTACTGCTTTTTTGACGTCCAAGGTGCCGTCGCCGTCGTCGTTGCTAAAGCTCCCTAGTAGAGAGTTTACGCAACGACGACAACGGCGGCATCTAGAACAGCAAAAAAGCAATAGGTTTAGACAAGCAAAACAACAACTTTGTACGTGCATCACGCTTTTTTGTACATTTCTCTGCCGTCGTTGCACGACTACAACGTGAAACTACCTAATTTCAAGTTTTGTCGAGGACGGGAGCAAAAGACAACAACTTTCTTTTTTTTTTCCTGAACTTTGATGCAGTTCTTTAGAATTCAACTCCAATCAAATTTGCCAACATTTGACACATTAAACGAGATGGAATAAGCGCGATAAAGTTTGAGGCAGCGCAAATTCACTTTTTAAGTGACGTTTTCGTAGCCGTCGCCGTCCTTGTTGCTAAAGCTCCCTAGTCTTTCCTAGGCGACGCAGTCTTCTTTCTAGTAAATTAAAGACAGTGTTAAGGTTAATAAAATATATCATCCAAGGAGCAAAACTCACCAGGCTTGCAGCTTCCTCCAACTTTGACGTACCCGTCTTTGCAGTGGCATTCAAACTTTCCTGGCACGTTTACGCATTGTTCATCCTTAGCGCATGGGTTTTGAGTGCATTCGTCTACATCTGAAATACATGCCTATGTTATAAGTTGCATTGTAATAAGCGTGCATCACGTGCGCGGGCATGGTGCCAGTCTACAACTTTTCGCCCCATGTAAGGGAATTCAAGACCGTCTTGAATTCTGGATTCCTCACCGTGCATTCCAGATTCTTAATTTATTGTCAGTAGAACTTGATTCTGGATTCTGGATTCTGAATTCCAATAGTTAGCAGGATATGGGATTCCTTGAGCTGTATTCCAGATTCCAAAGCCCTGAATTCCGGAATCTACTCGGAAATTCTTACAAGGGGCGAAGCTTGAAACTATGACATGAGGAAGATAGATGAGACAAAAACAGTCATACCTTCACAAGTCCGTTCCTGATCATCTCCTTTAACAAAATAGCCCTTCTTCTCGCAACCACAAACGTGAGATCCATTTTCTTTCTTTAGGCAATTGAGAGTCGGAGGACAAACATCACCTTGCATTCTGCACTCGTAAATGTCATCAACTAGCATGCAAAAATATCAATATATGGTACCTTTTTCAGGCTTCAGGTGTATAAAAGGCTAATTATTTCACGATTTAAAGCGTGACTGAAAGGGCGTACCTTTTCTATAAAAAGTGGTTTATATAAAATTAACAAAAAGTCCAAAGACTACCGCAAAGTTGAAACAAACGTGTATTTGAAACTTTCTCAAATGATATTTCAGCTGGCTAACAATTTACATGACTGGGTCAAAGCCACAAATATAATCCCCGCCATCAGAACTGACCATTCTGCTATTTATTTAGAATTTGGGAACGTGGACAAAGAGGCTATGGGTCCTGGGTTCTGGAAGATGAACACCTCCATATTGGAGGATGATGAGTACATTGATGACCTTACAAAAATGGTACCAATTTGGATCACGGAAGGCCGAAAAGAACTTTCCGACCACCGTAACATCTGGGACTGGATAAAATATAACATAAGAGCTCATGCTATAAAATATTCCAAAAAGAAGGCAAAGGAGAGAAACGAAAGAGGATCAAAACTTGAAAAAGAATATAATGAAGCGAAACAGGTTTTCGAAACGAATCCCAATGATTCGAATGGCAACAATTTAAATGCGGCTAAGGATAAGCTCGAATCATTTTATGATGAAAAAGTCAACGGAATAATAATCCGCGCCCGAGCACGTTGGCATGAACACGGCGAGAAAAGTACCAAATATTTCCTTAACTTAGAAAAAAGAAATCATGTAAAAAAGCATATAAGGAAACTAGTAATCAGCGGCGTCGTAAAGACAGATCCCTATGACATTCTTCAAGAACAAAAACGTTTTTATCGAGAGTTATACAAAAGTTCAAATAGTGATGCGGAAACCCGTCAGAACATTGTAAAGTTTCTAGAGAATTTGAATATACCTCAATTAACCGAAGAACAAAAGTTGACCTGCGAAGGCAAAATTTCAGCTGAGGAATGGTTCTTCAAGGAACTGCAAAGCACAGCCTTTTGGAATTAAATGGCCTAACGAACCGATAAAGGCTTTAGGAATTTATTACACGTATGATCAAAAATTGCTTCTTGAAAAGAATTTCATAGAAAGATTAGACAGTATTAAAAACCTGACTAGAATTTGGTCCTCTAGGGGACTTTCTATTTATGGCAAAATTACACTTATCAAATCTCTATTAATCCCGAAATTTGTTTATGTGTCATCTTTAATACCTACCCCAAAAGAATTTGTCAATCAGTTAAACCAGTTATTATTTCAATTCTTATGGAATGGTCGTGACAAAGTCACACGCAGATCGGTGATAAATGAATACTCCAACGGAGGATTAAAGATGATTGATTTTGACAGCATGATAATATCGCTTCGATTGGCATGGCTAAAAAGAATAGCTAGCTCAAATGATGGTACCTGGAAAAGGTATCTGACACATCATCTAGAACGCTTTGGCGGCCTTTTCTTGTTTCATTGCAATTATGATGTTAGTATCCTTCCACTGAATATTTCTCTATTCTATCTAGAATTACTGCAATGGTGGTCAGAATTTAGAGATACGTTCTCTTCAGAAAAGGACTGGCGTTATATTCTTTGGAATAACAAACAAATACTCATTAATAATAAAACAGTTTATTATAAAAGCTATTTCGAAGCTGGTGTAGTTCACATCAGCGATCTATCCTTTGACTTAAATAACAAAGATTCCTTTTCCTTAGTTTCTAACAAGATTTCTAAAACTAATTTTTTAGTTTGAGCAGGTCTTCGACACTCCATCCCTTCCATTTTAAAAATTTGTACTCATAAATCAACAACAGGTGAACTTTCTCTAAAAATTGACGATAATATATTTGATGTCACAAAGAAGAAATCTAAAGACTATTATACTTTACTTGTAAGCAGAAAGGCTCTCTTTCCAACTAATGTAAACAAGCTGCAAAATGAATTTCATTTCACACTCGAGGAAGTTAAACAAATTTTTATGATCCCGCATAGTGTTGCTCTTGAAGCATATGTTAAGGCATTTCAATACAAAATTCTTAACTCCATTCTCTATACTAATGCTAAACTTTACAAAATTGGCTTTAAATTGAATGACTCGTGCTCATTTTGTTCATCTGAACCAGAAACGCTATATCACTTCCTATATCTTTGTCCTTTCTCGGTAGATTTCTGGCGTGACTTCGAAGTATTCTGGCACCAACTTTTAAAGGAAAACATTCGACTTTCGTTGCAAGATGTTTTAGTTGGAATGATACGACAAAACTCCCCTTCTGCTACGCTTCTAAACTATCTAATTATGATTGGGAAATTGTACTTGTGGGATTGTAGAAGAAGTCAAATTCTTCCGAATATATATGGATTTAAAAAGAAAATTGCTGTAAAATATGAAACGGAAAAATATATAAGTCTGCATAGTAAAAAAACAAAGGATTTCTTCGAAGCTAAATGGATAGTGTCGCCTCTTGTAAATGCTTAACTATTTAAAGGTTTTAATATGCATCCACTTTCTGTTTGTAATTAATATATTATTTACATTATATTTTGTAAACATTTCTAGTTTGTTTGAATATCAGTGTTAATTTGTTGTATTATATTATTAGTATTAGTAGTATTAGTTGTAACATTATAATTATGTAGGTAAGTAACTAATTTGCTGTATTAATGTCAATTTGTTTCAATAAAGAATTATATCAAAAAAAAAAAGAAAAAAAAAAAGATATTTCAGCTGGCTATACCAGCCTTTTTTGGGTTTTTTAGATTTTACTAATATTTTTTAAATGCAGATGGAGAACGTCGCAATAAATATAGAGGGAGAGGCGGAAATGGTGTTAAATATGAAAAAGTCTGCAGTATAGTTTTTTTATGTATAAAAGGGTAAGGGGCTGAACATTGCGCGGAGCCTTCACATACGAGGCCTTGTTGAGTAGCATTTCGAAAGACAAAACAAGCGTTTTTCGTCCTTTTGATTGTATTAATTAAAATGCCAGCTTTGTGGCTTAAGGTAGCCAAACCTCATTGGATATACCGTAACGTAGCCCCAGTCCTTTGATGAAGAATTAATTGTACCTTCACAAGTTCTCGCATCTCCATCTCCGGTTACCATTAAACCAGCCTCGCAGCCACATGTGTAAGTTGCGTTCTCTTGTGCCAGGCACTGCAGTGAAGATGGACAAGCATCTCCTGCTTTTTCGCAGTCGTCCAACGCTGAAAAAATTGTTTTATTACATGCATCAGTTACTCGTTGATATCTACTGAATTAGAATAAGGTCCATGAGATCGTTCCATAAAGTTTACGAGAGTGACGTTCAAGTGGTAGACGCAACGGTCTTCCGTGAGCCCTTTTAATCAGTTGAACAGTTAACAGTTAAACGTTGTCAAATCCAACCTCAACTGGAGTCTCCATCCCTATGTAGCCGCGGGAATGATGATATTAATAACCGTTGTAAGACTAGGGCGGTATTGTTTCGAACTGCACTATGAAACTATTTTTGAGGACGAACAGTTCAGGTTCAGTTTGTTGGGAACCTCGTAAGATTAAAGAAACGATAACGTGCCTCAAAGCAATCCCATGACGCAATGCGAGACAACCTGGACCCAGTCTCAAGCGCAAACACGCTCTGGCCAATCGCGAACTCTGTTTTACGACAATGAGAGAAGCTATCAGTTTCATATTAATTTTTTTTCTTGTTGTGGTAAACTACATGTTATTTACTATTCCATAGGTTGGGAAAGGGTTGATTGGAACGGACCATCTCCTTTGGGAGCTTCTTGTGATACATCAATAGTGGTTGTGTTTAGTACTGGAGTTTTCTTCTTAATAATAATAATAAAAATAATACTCAGTGTATGAAAAGAATGATTGACTGGAGTGACTGACGCTCTAGGTGCATGGTTTGCGCCCGGCTGATGCACAAAAAGAACACCAGCAAAGACTGTGATAAAAGAAATAATAATAATAATAATAATAATAATAATAATAATAATAAAAAAAGTTTCTCCAGAAACCAACTTCCATGGACATTAATTTATTTTATTAAGCGTCTAATTAGGTCTAAAAATAGCTTTATAGTGAAGTTCACATATCCCAAGGGCTAGCCTGGGCAGGGAATTAGCAAAATCCGTTTGACGACTTTCTTTCAAAGGATCCTATTTAAAAGCTTACAGTTAACGGAAACTGGCAAGATCATCAGCTAAAAAACTGATATCGTGCCGGCCTTTATATTGACTGAAATTTTTACCTTGACAAGTCCTCGCGTCTCCTTCTCCCACTACGTTTGAGTCAGCGTCGCAGCCGCATGCGAAAGTTCCGTTCTCGTTTTCCAGGCACAGTAGCTCAGATGGACAAGCTTTTCCTGCCTTCTCGCATTCGTCCAAGGCTGAAATGAATGAAAAAGTAGATCATTCGGCATGGTATCCAGGTCCCCTCCCTGCTGACTGTTCACAGTGACTTGTCCAGGAGCGTGTTTTTTTAGGGACCCAAATGTCCACATTTGAACTGTGTTTTTAAAATCAAAATCTGAAGAAAAACTCGTGAGTAGTACACGCAGTTTTACTTTGACCGCCTCGATACTTCCAAACCAGTCCAATTTGTTTTGTTAAGAGATGGAGCATTACCCGGCCAACAAGTGTCTGTTAGAATCCATTTGCTTTGAAAAAAACAACAACAACAACAAAAAAAGTAGTTTCTCTCTAGCAATCTTTGTGGCATTACAGGTGTGGTATGGAATCCCCAATGAAAGGGTTCCCAAGTCTCCACTAAAATAGTGGGTAAGTTGGGGAGGGAGGGTGTGTGTATATAAATGAGAGTGTTGTAGGCATAAAAACAAATAAAATTGGTCAATAGTTAAATTGTTAGAAAAAGTACCAATTTTGAGCGACCAACAACTGCAATGCAGCCACGTCCAACACAAATATACAGTGCAAAGTAAAATGTGAAAAGTTAAAAACACCGATATTGAGCGACCAACAAACTGCAATGCAGCCCACAGGCGGCCCAAGCTCAGTGTGTGAGTTTAATCATTAACACATGTAGTTTCATATTGCGTAATTTAAGATGGCCGTGAATATAAAGGATTTGTATGGGAATTCAGGTAAAAGATTCAAATCGATAAATACTCGCTAGAATGTTCAATAAAATACAGCTTACCGTATTTACTTTGCTTGTTTTTGTTTGCTGTGTGGTAATTTTTCCGATCCATTGCGATTTAAATCGCTTAAATAGTATTTATCGATTTGAATCTTTTACCTGAATTCCCATACAAATCCTTTATCTTCACGGCCATTTTTAATTACCTAATATGAAACTACATGTGTTAATGATTAAACTCACACACTGAGCTTGGGCCGCCTGTGTGCAGCCACGTCCAACACAACACACTGTGCAAAATAAAAGAAAAGGAACTGAAGGGTTAATATATAATATAATTGCTGCGGAGCGACCGAAGGGAGCGAGCAGCAACATAATCAGGATTTAAAGAAAATATATAAGCGGCGACGAATTCTCGAATTCATCACTTTTTACCACAATGCATTGCATTTAACCACACTTTTTACCACAATGCATTGCATTTAACCAGAGTGCATTGCGCCACGAACAACTCAAATTTTAGAACACGGGGAAGTTCGGTGGGTGAGAGAGTGCATCGTTCGCTGCTCAGACTTACCAAATTTTAAGACACGCAGGAGTCTTTCAGATGAGTACGATGGTTAACTTGGGGATTGGATTTCAATTTAAGAGCCTTTTTTGCTCTTCGACTCCGCAACACGGGGGATATACAAATTCCAGCTTGCTAGAAGGTGATGTGAAAGTGAGAAAATGTCATGCAATGCTATTCTTAAGAAACTGTATGAGCCGAAAATGGATGTGATTTTGACCATTCGCTTCAAAATAACAGCGGAAATCGAGATAACAAAACATATGTTTTGTGTCCTACTTTGTAGACGAGGACGTGTATCGGCGTTTTGAAAAGCATAATTATGTTCTTTCATTCATTTATTGCCATGGAATATGCGTTTACATTGTTTTTTCACTGTTAATAGCTCGGTTAATGCGGCTGGCGATCATCTTGCCGGCGGAAGTTTCATGCAAAGGGAATAAAATGAAAGTCTCTGTGGTGTAGTGGTTAAGTGTAGTCGCGTCGAGTCGAACGTGCCGGGTTCGAATCCTACTGAGTTATTTATTCCTTCTTTCTTTTTTTCCTCCGTTTTTTGTGTTGTTGTTTTCTATAAATATATAGCTAAATAACTGTTACTTAATAAAGTGCAACAAACAGCAAGAAAAGTACTGTGTTTCCAGAGAAAATATCGTGCACCGTATATTAAATATATGGATAAACGATCTGAATTTCTATTATTTCCTACAATTTACTGTGGGACAACCAGAGTTGATAACCACTTGATCATTTTCTAAACAACGTTCCCACGAGTTCTTTCTATAGACTGATAGTAATTATTCTAGTACTTTCCAACATGTAAATAGGACATTCAATGTCATTTTTGATTCTTTTAAGTCTCACTGCCTAACTAATGCCAGTATCAACAGAATGTGCCGCAGCATTACTATCTTTTAGATACCCTAGTATAAAGTTAAGGACCTTGAAGCGAGGGAAACAGGTTTATAGGGTAAATAGATCCACTAGCTATAACCATATCAAGATGCCTGCGGCATTGACACATGAAAGTACTCAAAGGTCTTGGAAATAAGAATCCATTAGTTGAGTAATCAGTAATCGTACCTTTACATGTCCAGTTGTTTCCCTCTCCAACAATCTTATAACCAGGATCGCAATCACATGCATAAGATTTATCCTTTTGCTTCAAGCACTTCAGAGCAGGGGGGCAAATTCTTCCTTTCTTTTCACATTCATCCATTGCTAAAAAATAGTCATTAATTAAATACATCTGTCATATATTTATCACGCTAAACGTACGAAACTGAATTAAGATGCCTAGGCGTTGAAATTTTCGGACACCAAACTCGACCGCTACGGTCGACAATTTGACCCGCCCAGTGTAAAGGCCATAACTGTCTCAATTCAGTGTACGGCAAAGGCGTGGTTATATGTCTTGAATGCGTGGCAGTAGTTTAGATGCGAGACGCCATTGAATTGGCTAAAGCAGCGCTCGTGTATGGGCAGGTGTTAAAACCCCTGAAAAAAGTTAAAATTCAACCTGGCTCGTTCATTCGTTCTCATTTGATGAGAGCAGAGTGAAAAGATTGAATGGTTTCATGTTAACGATATGTCCTGTTAATTTTTTAGCCAATACCGTGCGAGAGGGAGAAAAAGCCTGAGTAAAAACAAGCCGCCGTAACTCAACCCATTGGTGCCATGTTTTATTTACGGGTGAAAAAGGCAGTCAAAGTACCGGCCCATAAATTACACGAGAAAATACGAAACTAACTGAACAACTCGAGTGTAAACTGGAGCGAATGGTTTATATACATTGGTGCATGTACTTATCGACTAGGAATGTTAGAATGCTGCCAACTTGAGTACAATTCCAAATGTTACTTTTAAGCACATTTTTCCAGTTTTGAGTTTCAGACAGTTAACATAAGGTGAATCAAAAATAGCTCTACTTGCCTTTCATTTCTTTGCCAAGTTCAGGCTCATACTCATTTCAATCACTAAAAAATAATCGTACCTTTACAAGTCCTTGCGTTGCCGGTTCCCACAACCTTAAAACCAGGATTGCATCCACATTCATAACTATTTTTGTGCTTCACGCACTTCAGGGCAGGGGGGCAGTTTAGTCCTTTCTTTTCACATTCGTTCATTGCTAAAAACAGGGAGAATGTGTGGAAAAAAGACTTTAAAATTCAGGCTGGGTAAATAACATGACTTACCTCATCTGCCAAAGTTTCCGTTCCGGTGAAAAAAGGCAGAAGACACGGAGACCGATAAAACAGGTAAGAGGATAAACTCAACAACCATTATCTCATACTATTTCGAAGTAAATGAGAATTACGCCTTTACTATTATATGATTTGAAAAATTGTCGAATCAGCTGATCTACCAATAAAAGTATTACTAATAATTATAATAATAAAAATGACAATGATGATGGCAATGAAAGTATTTATTAGTTATTGTCATATTATATACGATTAATGATTTATGATCAACACTATATCATGAATAATAACAAAAAAGATAAACAAACAGATATTTTTAGCCCCCTTTGCTACGTTACCCTTTTTCAGTTTCACCACTGCTGGAAAACAATAGTAATCGAGTTTTATTATTGAATAGACCTTTTTACCGATATGGCGGCCATATTGAATTTATTAGATTTAAGGAGTATTATGGGATGCCCAGGGGGCATTAGCACGATTCGATATACTCACTCAGTATACGTACGCGTGCTTTTGTGGCCAATTAATTTTTCTTAAAGTTTTCCCAGAAAAAGATTGTAATGGCAAAGAAAAGATCGTTGTGCCTTGTTGGGATGTAATAATGAACGCCTTTTTCCCGACAAATATACAGTGAAGTTCTCCTTTTGCCCGAAAATTGCGCGTAAATACTGAGCGAGTGGCCCCTGGGCATTCCATAATACTCCCTAAATCTAATAATAAATTCAATATGGCCGCCGTGTCGGTTAAAAGGTCTCTTCTTTCCGTAGCTCGTACTAATTCTAATCCCTGTGCCCCTTTGATTTGCTAATTTCAAAACAGATAGTAATCCTGCTTACCTTTACACTTCCTCGCGTTTCCACCTCCCACAACCTTAAAACCATTATTGCACCCGCATACATGGTCGTTCCCCTGTTTTACGCACTTCAGAGCAGGGGGACACTTTAGCCCTTTAATTTCGCATCCATCCATAGCTAAAAAGACCCAACAAAAGCATAATCATACCTTTTTACTTACGTAGCTGGAGAAAGGAGATATAAAGCAGAGACATATGCTGAAGTAAAAAGCACATAACTCGACACCAAGTCAGGGCCTAATCATATCCTAAAGTTAAAATTTAGGGATATCTCCCTGAGAAACGTTCCTTCCGCACTTCCAATCTTTGTCTGATAGTTGCAGCAAAAGGAAGAAGCAAACCCTTTAGTTTCTTAGCCTTTAAACATTTTCTCAAAAAAAAAAAAAAAAAAGAAAACTTATCTTAATGCCTTCGTGCGACCGAGAATCCTTCAGCCTTAAGCCTCATACAACTTTGCGCATGTTCAGTAGATTTTGGTTAGTGTTTAAGTTATAGAGGATATTACATGGCCGTGCGGGGATACGAATTTTATCTTCTAGTGCTGAAAGTATCTCTCAAGAGTGAGCGAAGCGAAAGAGTGAGCGATACTTTCAGCACGAGAAGATCAAATTCGTATCCCCAAGCGGCCATGTAATTAAATGTTATGTTTATTTTATAGATACTGATGAAATTCCTACAAAAAACATAACTCTTTTTTAAATTCATTTTCGAAACAGCAAAATGGTGCAGTTAAAGTGATCACCTATGGGAAAATGCCTGTCACAAAAATTTTGTGAAACTCGGATATAAAGTTATAAAGGAGAAATAAAGACAATAATACTTATATTTTTTGTTCCAAAAAGTTAGTAACCATGGCGACACCAATATCCTCACACGTGAAAGATAAAAATAGTATCTTCACTGCGCGCGATGAAGATATGATTTTTTAGTAAAAGGAAAAATCCTGGTATTTCATCAGTATATATATAATAAAGACTGGTATTTAATAACCTGTGGACAAATTGTATCTTTTCTTGCATCTTGTTACCCTTCTTTTGTTTTAGTTTGTGTGTGTGTCTCCCCGTTAATATTGTATATTGTACTTAAGCAAAAAACAAATGTTATATTTACCAATGCAGTTCCTTCCATTTCCCGTGTATCCCGGTTTACATTGGCAAGTGAAAAAGGGAGTTTTATCATGGCAAATGGCATCTCTGTGGCAGTTATGTTGGTTTGTAGCGCATTCGTTTATAGCTGAAATTACAGAAACATCATAGACGAGCATCATCATTGTTAGACTGCAAGCAGTCTCTCTAATAAAGGATTAAATTAACTGCAAAAACCGTGGACGAAGATTCTGCTAGTTGTAAACATTGGATCTCAGTCTAGAAAAGAGATCTAATCAAGGAAAATATAAAGAACCAAGAACGAGAAAGTCCGAAGACTACTGTAAAGCTCATTCAGAACAACGTGAATTGTTTTTTAAATATAACAATATTTCGGCTGGCCATACCAGCCTTCTTCAGGTTTACAGATGTTTACAGATGCAGTCTCTCCTATTCTTCAGATTTAGTGAGGGCAGTGCACGCGCGTTCACCGCGCGAAGCGAGAAACGAGGGTTCGGTTACACGCTTGCTCATTTGCGTGTTTCTCGCGTTTCGCACGACGGAATAAGGAAAAAATAGAGTGCTCGTAGTTTATATCATAGTAATAGGTTGATTTAGCAACTGAAGGGGAACTTCAGTTGACGACGGCGCTCACAAATCAAACAACTAGCTTGACCAATGGCAGAGCAGCAAATTGCTCACTGAAGGTCGCGTTTAGTCCTTTTCGTTTGCTTTCCCGTCGTCACCTGACACGAGAAACGAGGGCTTCTTCAGTTACGCCGTGGTCATTTACGTGTCTCGCGCGTTTCGCACGGCGAAATAAGAAAAAATGGCCTGCTCGTAGTTTACGTCATTGTTTATCTACTCCGTCTTATTAACTTATTCCGGTCTAAACTACTTTTTTTTAGCGATCAGCAGTATGCCTTTTGTGATATATAATCACAGGGTCTAGAGGAGTTTCGTGTGAATAAATGAATTACTTATTTAAAGTCTCACCTTGAAAAATGTCTATACCTGTCGCTTAGCATGATTAATTAGCCCAATGGGATCTTTATAAATCTACTGTAAACGATTTCTTCGCTTCTTATCTGACCCAGATCGACTTTTGAAAATCAATAACCGCAAACCATATCCTCGCTGGCGCATGGCACCTCGCCCGAAGGGTGACCGAAGGGCGACCGAGGCACGAAGTGCCGAGTAAAAGAAAGGACTGTAAGCCGATCTTGCGAGCCCTCAGTCTCTTGGTTTGCGGTCTATAGAGTGTGTAACGAAACTGTAACGCGATCAAAATAACCCATTTTTTCAGAGTCTTTCGACGGGCTTTGATGTTCTAATGACAAACACATCTCCCCTGGACCCTGTGATAAAATGAATAAATTATCAGGGCTTATTTACCGCCTCTCCATTAATCGTCTGGCACACCCTGCCAAGAAAATTACGCTAACGTGCCGGAAAAATGTGACCTTTGCGGGGATTAGCACCTGATCTTAGGAAATATACGAGTGCTTGAAAGCTATGGTATTGAATTCAATCAATAAGGGGGTAACTAAGAGTCTACTAAGGGCACTTTCCACTTGTCAGAACTGGCCGGCGAGACCATTCACATCGCAATGATAATTTCCCTTTTAATCAAAACTCTCCAGCCAGATCAGTCAAATCCTAAATAGTATGCACCAAGGAGATGGTTTTTCAGGAAAAACTCTTAGAAAAAGCCGATATCATTTTCAATCTGACTGGTCGGGCAATGGTCCGGCCGACCAGTTCTGACAAATGGAACCCTAAGAATGTGAACTTCAATCTTTTCCCCATGGAAGGAAATCCACGACATTCTTGGATTCTGGATTCCAAGCTGTAATGCAGGATTCCAGGTACTGGGGTCGGGATTCCGGATTCCCTGTCAGAGGAACCTGGATTGCGGTTTGTTAATCCAAGCCGACAGTTTTGGGTTCTGGATTCCACACTGTGGATTCCCGAGATTCCAGGTACTGGATTCCTTGACAGTGGAACTTGGATTCCGGTTTGCAATCGTTAGAAGGATTCCAGATTCCGTGAGCTAAATTCTGGATTTCAAAGCTCAGGATTCTAACAGGTACAATTGTAGCTCTAAACTTTTCAGTCTATGGAGTTCTCGACGATAAACCCAATAAGCAAGAAAAAAAAACCATGATTGTGAGGGCAATTTTGTCATTATTGCGGTTTGCAATCGTTAGCCGGATTCCAGATTCCCTGGAGCTAAATTCTAGATTTCAAAGCCTAAGATTCTGGATTCCTCAAGCGAAAAAATCCCAGATTCCGACGTCCGTAATTGGGGGCGATAGATGTAGCACTTACGATCGCAGTAGTCTCCGTTTCCATGATATCCCGCCTTGCATATGCAGTTGTAGGCGAGGCGGGTGTCTTCGCAGCGAGCGGCTGGAATGCACTTAGCTGTCTTCTGATGACATTCGTTTATATCTGGAAGAGTTGGATATTAAGAGTTAACAATGAAACCACTACTGACCCGCTTCAGTCCGGGTGGGGGAGAGGGGGTGGTCTTGTGAGGTACCCCTCGCGTTAAAGTTAAATAACTTCATTACCATTCTAGCTGAGTGACTTTGCGTGAAACTTATCTGGCAACATTTTAAAGTCGCCGCAAAGCGGACGTCCGAAACAGTGATGATATAATACCATGGCAATCGAGTTTTGACAGCCATGTTTTCAAAATTTACATGTTTTCTATTCTACCTTTTTACTTAATATACAGTATGTTGCCCAGTATCGGGACACTTCAGTTTAAGATTGTAATAACTTTCCTTTGTTAATCGCAAGAGCTCTGAAATTTGGCCCAGAGAAAATCTATTTAGTCCTTAACACGACGAAAGACAGTTTAACTTTTTTGCCTTTTTTTCCATCGCGAAATTAATGTTTTTGCAGAGCTCCTGTGTTGCTCAGTATCCGGACAGCTGACCCAGTATCTGGACACAACAATAACAAAGTAATTGTACATAAATTTCGACAGGCAAGCGACTTATAAGCTTCTCTTGCTCTTGCAAAGTAGTCTGACAATCGATTCGAAAAATTTAACCTACCATCGTGAAATAAAACATAACAAATGACTGGGGTATGGTGGGGAACGCGAGCGGCTGTTTCAAAAATGGTATAATTCTCACTTCCTTGTCTAGGAATTTTTTCACTGCTTTAAGGAAGGCATCCGTGGACATGCCGAAGCCGCAGTTTGCAAGCTCAATTAGCTAATCTGCAAACGACTTTTTTTCTTCATTTTTTATTTTAAACAAAGCTTGGGGAAGGGACATCAATCCGACGGTCAAAGGTCACTCTCCTATTTAGTCTGACCTGCAGTGTTGATTTCTTTATGCTCAGACCTAACAATAAGCCTGCTTTTCTAGCACTAATTCCTCCTTCTTTCACATCTCTCAATCCCTTTGTGACATTTTTCAGACCGTGACCCCATTCTAGCAGTCGCAACTGGGGAGAGTATGAGAATTCCAGGTTCAACACAGACGCTTTCGGTTATATATAGGAAAAGCTAGAAAATGCAGTCACGCGAAACAAGCCGTGCACACGAAATCAAGTCGCCTCTGAATGAGTGAAGAAAATTTCCAGACGGAGTTGAGTAGAATTACATTTTACGACTATATCATATATCCTAAACTTTAATTATAGTTACTGATATGAAATAAATCTTATCCGGATAATGTACACGGCTAATTCATCGATTCTGTACGGCAAATGAAAAACTGTCCGGATACTGGGCACCTGACATCAAAACTTAGTGAATGTTTCTGGCCTCCGTTATTCCAAACAAATCGAATTTGAAGAAGAATTAATAAACTTGCTGGAAATCTGACTTCCTTAAGTATCTTCACTTTAAAAATAAAACGGTCTCTTTGAAAATATTACACATTAGCCTCCCTTTTCTGAGCAGCACTAATTTTACTGCGCAGTAAACAGCGTAAATATTAGCCATGAAAAGTCTGAAAAGTTTACTCACCTGAACAGAACGGCGTCTTCTGCGCCTGTTTCGCAAGCTTTCAAATCGCCAAAACTTTCATCTTAAAGCTGAAATGTTCAGCTTTCATTCGAAATACTTCGTTTACCGAGAACTGAAAAGGGCGCCTCAAAAATTGAGTTTTTGTTTCAAGTGTCCTGATACTGGTACCGTCCGGATACTGGGCAACATACTGTACCGTAAAATTCCGAAAATAATCCCCGGGGCTTATATTTTTCAATGGTCCCTTTTGACGGGCTGGTTTTTGGAGGGGTTATATTCGGAGGGGCTTATCTATGGAGGGAAATTTGCGTTTCAACATCGATTGGGCTAGCCTTTTGGTTGGAAGTGAATTTAGCGTTTTTGCTTTGTTTTACTTGGTATTTGAGGGCAATTTTCCAAGTACAAGCCCCCGGGGGGCTTATAATTGGAGGGGCGATTTAACCGATGGTTTTTTGCGTTACCAGTTTGGGGGGCTTATATTTGGAGGGGCTTATTTTCGGAATTCTACGGTATTACACTCAATTTAGCATCATTTTATCAAATTTATTATCGTTTACGTTTAACCAATACTTCGGGGATTTTATCAAGTGCTTGTTGCAAACCAATTTCTGCCTCTTTACCGGCAGTAAACAAGGGCAATCAAAATTTCTATTTTTTTTCTTGGCGTTTGTTAGCAAAAGCAGCTTCATTTATCGCTAAGATTATATTTCGTCTTCCGAAACTGCCGCGAAAAAGACGGCATTATGACTCCCGCCCAGAAACAGTGGATGTCGGTTGGTCGTCTGCTCACGCAACGCTCTTCCCCATAACTGGAGAGGACGTTGCGTGACGAGACTAAAACGTCTGCGAGGATATTCCGAGTTACGGGAGCCGATAAAAACGCGCAGAAATTGCTTTGCACTAGTATAGTCAACTGAATAAAACCAATAAGCAAGTCAGGGCAATTTGTCATTATTGCTGGCTTTAGTAAATACTTTCGCATTTTGATCTTAGCTCCTCTCCCATCGTATTTTCAAGTTGTTGTAGTTGCCATTGTGCATCCTTCGCTCCAGCACGAATCCTCCCTTGTATGTCATCTTTTATCACGTCATAGCTCATCTTATTCAGTCGACAGTTGAAGGAGGAGAGCGTTGGTAAGGCTACAAGAAAAAGATAGATAGCGTCTCTTTATGGATATATTGCTTCTAATTTAAAATGTAAATATTTTCCCTCGATCTTTTTTGCCGCACCCATCTTGAGTGGCAAACAGTAAGCCGCAAAGACCTGCGGTATATTCCCCTGTTCTAAAGTTATAATTGTGAGTTTACGCGACAGGACGGCAGGAAGAAGAGGACGGCAAAACGCTTGTGACTGACAAAAGTGACGGGGCTATTACTTGAGCGTTTTGCCGGAAATTCACTTAAAATTGATGCTTTTTGCTCTTCTGCAAAAAGATCTGTTTAAAGGAATGTGAAGTTTGGCGGAAGTTGTCTTCAAACAAAATTATTGTCACGCTTGTCACACAAGGTTTGCCGTCGTCTATGTCACGTCGTCCATAGATCGTTTTCACTGTCACGCAACGAAAAGATAAATCGGAAGCCGTCCACTGGAAGAAGCCAAGAAAATGAAGTGTTATAAAAGACTGGTATACAAACAATTTTTCAGCTGGTCTTTGTGGCCTACAGTGTCTGAGTTATTTGCCGAAACGTTTCACGTAACTTTGTGGAGCTTTGTATGGAGACGCCATATTCAATATGTCCGCCGGAAATCAACATTTTTTCTTTAAAAGCCCTTTCTTTTCACTCGAGGGGCGGTGAAACGAGCGCTCGGCTCTTCATTTAATGTGTGATGCGGAGTAGGACTGGCACGAGCGCTCTTTCCGTGCTTTCGGTGCGCTTGAGGGCTGCGAAATTTTCCTTTTTGCAAACCGGAAACCCTATTTTCTTTCTGTAATTTCAGGCTACAGTGTTAAATAGATAAATTCGTTTTATAACAGTATCAATAAACAGTTTCATATGTTTGTGTCTGTACGTCTATAAGTCAAACTTGTTGGTCGTATAATGCCAAAATTTGAGTTTAATTTGAAAGTGTTGAATACCTAGGCCTCCTCCTTCCACTAAATATCACCTTATCATCTTTCGCCGTTTCGTTTGCAAAAGCTTAACACTTCTTAACCTCAAGTTTTACATATATTAAAGGGGGATAAATTTTATGTAACAAAACAAAAAATTAGATTGATATATACTGATATAGTGGCGTTGTACGTCTTCAAACTTTGCTTCTCGGGTGCAGCGCGCCATGGCGATTCGATCAATGCGTTACAAATCCCGGGCAACCGCATGTAAACAAAATTTATTGAGGTTGGTTGTAAGGTTTTTTCCCCGTTTTTCTCTCTAAAACAAAACAAGGTAAACAGGAAAAACTGAGGGAAAACTAATTTTGAAGTTTCGAAGAAACAGAAAGACGTATGAGATGTTTTTCTCAAAATTAACGGTGGTGATTGAAATTAGCATAATTTCACCTTGCACGAGCTGCACGCATTTATAAAATACACGCCATCTAGTTATGAAACACGATCTGCTGTCTTTTAGTTTTGCCATGGATAACGTGGATGAGATTTTCCTTCGTGTTTTAGACAGTACTTAGTTGTTTTTGTTTTGGAATAACATCGACATTGGAGAGTAGCAGAACGCAAATATAATTCAGTGGTAGAGTCATGGAAGTAATAAAAGAAACCCTTTGAAAGAGATGTTTGTCTACTCCAACTAAACCTCCCGCAAAAAATAGCAACATTTGCTTCTCGGAGACGGCGTACCAGCACAAAGGAACGAGGAAGAGGTGCAAGAAAACAAATCAAGCCGCATTAATTCAGTGACAGCGGCAGTGTCTAATGTACAAACCACATCGCAAGCCCTTCGCAAGCCCTGACCGAAGTCGAAAACAAGCGACATTTCTATAAGCAGAGTCCCAGTCCACTGAATCACACCTTTTTGCTCGGACGCGCTCGTTTCACCGCCCAACCTTTATTCGCTCTGCTAGAGAACTAGGATACGCGCGCATAAACATATCTTCTAATACTTAAAATGGTTGTACTGCTGAAAATCAAGAGGAGGGGCTTTTTTTCAACGAGACAGCATTCCTATTTGATATTACGCACTGTGAAAACTCTGAAGTTCAAATTGCTGTATTTTCGAAAAGAAACATGCTACGGGAATGGAAACTTGTACAAAGATTAACTTTTTGTTTATCTTCAACCTAGTGTAAATAAGAATTCGTAAAACCTCGCTATTTTAACTTTACAATTTGATGACGTCACTTTGAAAACTATCTATATCGTTGGGCTAAGTCACGCTATTTTACTTAAAAAGCTAAGACGCGTCTTTCGCATCAAGGGAAAATAGTGGTTTAGTCTTCTTAGCACTATATTGTGGTATTGCAACTGTTCCGTAGTCTGTTCCAAAGGAAGGCAAGGATGGACCCCGGGGGGAGGAGACTCCGCATATGAAAGGGGTGGGGATGCTACTCAGAAGTTTTGAATTAAACCCCTAAAGGAGACCGATCTGGTTGTGGCCCAAGCTTTTTTTTTTTACCCCTAAAAGAGACCATGTTAAAACACAGACAATATATATATTTCTATATTTTTTCGCGTGCAACCCTGACCAAGACCTTCACGGCTAAATATGAGAGTGAGACCAAAATCTGAGATTTACACCCCTAAGCGAGACGACGAGCATCCCCACCCCTTTAATATGCGGAGTCCACCCCCCTGGGGATGGACATGGGTTGAAACTTCAGTTTAAAAGTTGGGCCAACTTTCTCAGGTTTAATTTCGATGCTTTTCCCTCAAAATTCATCAACAAGAAGATATTATAGCTAGTGCTCCCTAATGAAATTTGTTTTATATCTTCTTCAGAACTCTAAAAGGAGTATTTTGCGTATGGGTAAAGACACTAATTAATGAATTCAGCACAGCGGAACTGCAATATCTAACCCTTTTAAAGTAGCTCAGGGGTGGATCTAGGACAAATACTGACCGTTTTCCTAAACGGGCGCCGAAGGCGTAAGCTTCTAGCGGGGTTCGGGGACATACACCCCCAAGAATTTTTTTTGATTTTTACGCCCTATAGTCGCCTTTCGTGAATTTCTAAGCCATTCAGTCGGGATATTGGCCAGATTTTAACTTGGTAAGCTTTTTTTTCATGAAAAATTTATTTATTTAGGAAAACCTGCTGATTTTCGTAAAACGGGGGAAACCGGTGTGGATTCGCGCCTTTTAGCTGCTCACTGTGGACAGTCTTGTATCTTTTGTTTAGCTTTGCTATTACGTAAATATATACTCGCTATTGATGCAAGGATGTTGTCTTGGTAACGATATTGATGGTAAATATTAAAATCAAACTCACTGCCAGCAACTTCCTAACAAGCAAATGTCTACTAAGCGCTGTATGTGAAGTTGACAACAACAGAAATGAACTTTGAGAAAAACCTGATTGCAAGATTTCCGTTTTAATTTTCTCCAATTTTTCCCAACCTTGTAATTGTATAGGCAATGGCATGATTTGTAGTGATATTTGGCATAAATACCACGAGTGATATTTCAAAATTGTTATACATAATTTCACGAGCCGTTAGGCGAGTGAAATTTGAGACAATTTTGAAATATCACGAGTGGTGTTTATGCAAATGTCACGCACAAATCATGCTATTATTTGTTTATACTACTACCCGCAAAAGGTTTGTAATTTTCACATGTAGGTATTTCAAATTAAGCTGAAATACCACTGCTCTAAACCAATCAAATTGCAGAAATTTCTCATGTAGTAGTATAAGCTGTGTTATTTCAAACCTTCTTTCAATGTTTTTAAACCACTTCAAAAACTCATTAATAATTTATAAAGAAAAAAAAGGAAACTAACTGGTTTAATGAGTGTCTTTAAATATGATAAAGAACCAGCTAAACTTAACGTCTAATTTTTAGACCAAAATAACCCTAATTCTAAATATTAGTGCAAAAATGAGTTGATCTATATCAGAGACATTGAAGTTGTTCAAAAAACTAGTAGTCGTGCATTATCGGGTTTAAATAACATCGGCTTCCACTTTAGTTTTTAAACCTGGTAATATATGACTGCGAGTTTTTTTAAACAGTACTTAAGAGTAGTTATTTTGTCATTGTTTTGCTCATTTTGGTGACCTGGACAGCTCTCACTGTCTGAATTTAGCCAAATTTGGTAACCATGGTAACTAGTTTCCTTTAAAAAACTGCACCTATTTTGTCACTTAGGCATCTTCCATTCTACCAAAATTCAAAAATTCTTGAAACAAGAAAAAATAGAACGTAAATTTTCTTGGAAACTAAACTCAAAATCAAAAAACGTGAAAATTTTCCAGGGAAAACCCGTCAACAGGATATTTAAAGAAATAACTGAAACCAAATTGATCGATTAATCCAGGAAAATTTTTTTCGAGAATTCAAGTTTTCTGTTTCATTCGCCACATTCTCAACCAAATTGTTTGTTGGAGGAAAAGCGTTCTATATTCCCCACTTGCTTAACTCTTCTTTTGTGAATATCAGTAATTAAACTTTCCCTCGACGTAAAGTTTAGCCTGCGTAGCAAAAGCGTTTCTGTTTGGTTTCGGAGCAAAAGGGGACTTTCGGTTTTGACCGCGCGAGAAATGAAACGAGAACCAAAAAATGAAAGAAAGGGGAGGGGGAGGGGAAGGTTTCCTTCCTTTCTTCCTCACCCCGTCCCCGCTCTTTTGCTCGTGTCATTTTTCGCGCGGTCTTTGACTCTTGTTCCTCATTCTTCGCTCCTAAACCGCACAGAAACGCTTGCTAGGCAGACTACGTAAAGTTCTTATAAGCTTATATTCGGGAATTGCACTCAGACACAAAATGAAACCAGACGGTAAAATAAAGGTAAAACTAGCTGAAAAAACTAGCTGCATGTACAGGACAAGCCCGAACGTGAGTTTTGAATTACAGATTTCTGTACCGATACCGCCAACTTCAATTAACACAACGAGCCAACTTTTGGCAACCTAATGGTGAATAGCTTAACTGTAGACATGTTTTAGCTTGCTTTCCGGGGGAGTTTCAATGCATTTACTACAAATTACAATGCACTTCCTTCCACTCAACAAAATGTGTGATAACAAACCTACATGGTCCATCATGTCAAGTGCGTAATAGCCAATATAAATTTATTTTGACGAGGGAGGTCGACTATAAACCAAAACAGGAACTCTGATGTAGGTATAATCCAAGGTCAGATTTAATCCCAAGTGTGCCTACTACAAAGCACAGCACTTAATGGGCAAACCAATTAAAACAAGATCGATAACAATCAAAAACCTGTTAAACACCGAGGTGGGCTATCCCTGCGTAACCTTGGACTATTAACCAAATTCTAAGAGACTCTGGGCAGGAGTGAAACTGCGTGAAACCGCAAGCACATAGATACAATAGACTAAGTACCTTCGAAAGAACTAAAAACTACTTCGTAATAGTTTCTTATTAAATTTTTTGGCGTGAAGTTTGGAAGTAAGTATTTCAGCGAGTTGTGCTGTATTATGATGACAGGGGCACCCAACGAGAATTTAGTTCAAAACCACATAAACATAGCATTGTTGAACGTACTTTAGTATTTAAACAGTAGATAAAGGCTTATTTTTATCCCCTAAAAATTTTTCATCTGTTCGGATTTCCTAGCTGAAAGTATAGTGATCCGAAAATTATAGGGATCAAAATCTACCTTTCCGAAAATTTCAGCCAGAAAAAAGGCTCCCGAAAATTCTAGGTGACCTTTTTAGGGTAAAAATCCGTTAAAATGGGCAATTATACCATTTTTTTTGCCCCTGTGATGAGCCCGTACAACGAAGGAAAATATAAACAACGAGTACCACTGGAAAAAAAAAACTCAGCGATAATTTTCACCTAAAGATCTATCGAGCTTTTTGCTGGCCAAATTGTAAGAGCTAAACGTTTAGAAAACTGAAAAGTGTAGAATGATTGTGGCAATGTAGTTTTGAGGTGCACTATATATTGACTTACTTTAAGCATTAAAATCAGTTTGTGAAACAACTATAACTTCAAAATTTTACTTTCCCCCGTTGTTTCCAATTCTCACATATGTGTCAATCCACATTTTTCATTTCTTTTTAAACTATGAGCCTAACAAAGACGACCTCGCTTTTCCGACAAAAGATATCAAAAGAATTTCTCGATTTGCTAAAGAGCACTTCAATTTAAGGAAAAAGCTTCAGAGCACGCAAATAAATTGGCCAACCTAAGTTTGTATGAACTAAATGATGATGAATATGATATATACTCATTTTTTTTCTTTTCTCGACAAGGTCAGCTTTGCTAAGGTGAGCGACATTCACCATCCAGAAATGTCGGTTTCGTCTACTTTCAGCCTTCAGCACTGTCTGTACAACAAGCAAGTATGTTTTCAAACTCTAAATAAAAGTTAGGAAAAGTCATTTTTTTGGAGACTTTCAAATTCTGTTAGAGTATTTGTTTGAATTTTTATTTGGACCAAAGCACAGCAACCTGTCAAACAGGTTTTCTACTGATTACTGTACAAGGACCAACTGTACAAATAACTAAACATTTGAACTCGTTTTTTCTGCCGTTCCTGTGAAATAATTCAGTTGGATGATAACTGAGTTTGCTGCGGTTTTTGTTTCTTTTTGATAAATATTCCGTCTCCATAATAAACCTCTAAAAATTGTTTTTTTCGGAATTTAACTGTAGTATGAGATTGATCGATTTTTTATACGATAAAGAATTTGTTAAATGGCTCGAAGAGAATAATGTATGGAGTTTTTGTTACTGATTAATGCGTAATCTCTCGCAAACAAAACTTATTCTGACTTTAAGGTTGTCTTTGTATTAAACGTATCATAAAGGGAAGCGGCAAACAAACTAAGATTAAAAACTTACGGTAGTGAAGGACACAGATCACCAACAAAGCAATACTCCATTTGGTAGCAGATGCCATGGCTCTTTTGAGATTCTTGATCAGCTGAAGATCTTAAGCTTTAAATCTGCAATTATCGATCGTTTCGTCATCTTATTAACCGAACGCAGTGTTAGTTATAAAACTGAAAAATGTTGTCTCTGCTTAAACTTAACGCAAGCAGGCAACGGTCAGGCTTTAACAAAATCCGTTAGAAAATCTTTGCAGAACTTTTCGTTTGTGACGTTTGCGTCTTACATCATCATAATCGAGCGCTTTGTGCGCGCGCTTTAATCGAGTTTTAAGAAATCTGCGCGCGTTCACGGGAAGGTTTACTACTTTTCACAGTGACATTTTTCTTCTCTCTTTTTTTTGTAATGTCATCAAAGATAAGAAAAATGGCGGATCTTACCTTTTTCGAATTTGTTTTTAAAGAGTTCTCATATTTTCCTGTCACTCTTTGTGTGCGGAAGCCTCAAAGTGAGGATATTTTTGCTATGCTCTGTCGCTTAGTAATAATCACTTGACTTTCAGCTGGGCGCCTGCATTAATTTTCAATTACGCGCGTGCGTCAGCAGCAATTTGAAGTAAAGGTGATGTTCGCCACGACGATTTTTAGCGCAACGCAGCGTTTCAACATTGTTGCGATATTGTTTCGAATGGTTACAACATTGTTCCAGCATTGCAACGCTGTGTTGCGCTAAAACCGTCGTTGCAAATCGTCCCGTGGAACATCACCTTTATTCATACGAGACGATTCGCATGCAACAACGATTTTTAGTGCAACACAGCATTACAACATTGTTGCGATATGGTTTCGAATTGTTTGTTTTTTTTTTTCAACATTGCTACGCTGTGTTGCGCTCAAAATCGTCGTTGCTCCCTCTCCCCTCGCGTGTCTCCCTCTCGCGGACCCGTTCTCTCTTGTGCCCACTGCTTCCAAGCGCCTGCTACGCAGGCTAAAGGCTTAGTGGGGAGCCAACCTCGTTTCCCTGGTCCTCTCTTACCCGAGGGGTGAGCAAGAGAGGACCCTGGGAACGAGGTTGAGTAGGGAGAGTTGAACAAGCGAGAAGCACGCGAAGGGTGTGATGGGAACGAGCGCAGAGCGCGAGCGGGGGGTAGTGACTGGAACGTAAAAGAGCTTCCCTTGATAAGTAACTCACCTATCCCCAAAAACGTGATCACGAGTGACTGACAAGACTGTAAAAATAACGCATGAAAATTACCCCTCTGTCGCCTTCGATCCTTTAGCCGAACGCTTTCTGTCTGCGAAACAGACAAATCGACGAATCGATAGTTGCATTTTTAACAGGCCAATCATAGCGTGTACTCAAATCCTTGTAAACAGGTGGGGCCCAGAACAAGGATTTCGGCGCTGATTCGCAGACGGACTTAACCAGACAGGCAGGTTACTTCTCTTAGGGTTCTCCAAGTTTGTCTTATCAAAGCAAAGATGGCGGCCATACCTCCGCCCAACCTCGTCCCAAGGTCTTCTCGTTTTTCCACCGCCATATTGGAAAACGAGAACTCTCAGTAGCTCATACCCTACAGACGAAACTAAACTTCTAACCGCAGTAGTTTACGTTTTGCTATGAAAGCTACGTTTGCCTGCCCAAAATTACGCTCTGCTTTGCAGGCTAGATACGATTTTGTGGTCTCTTGAATCGTGTACGTTTTTTATCATTTGTCTCGTGAGAACATTGTTTCTCAGTTCTCACTGTTGATGGTCTAAAATAGAGATCATAGAGAAAGGAAGCCTAAAGGCCGCACATCCTCACTCCAGGAGAACATAAAGATTTCATAAGTCCTATTTTTTGGAATGTCTTCATCCTTCCCCTCCCAAGGAACGACGGGCTCTGGGGCCGAGAACGGGCATACACCTTGCGCGCGCATCACGGAAGCTATCACGAAGGGATCTTTCGGTTTTGTTTGGCTTGACCATCGGCTAAAATCAGTGCTCCTGCCGTGCTCCTGTTGAATGTCAGTGCAGGCCATTCACGTTAGGTAATTGTTTTCTTTATTTTTATGGCAAACATTCAGTAGAAGAGTCCTCGGAACCTTTCGTTTCATACGTTGAGGACCGGGCAGAATGTCTCTTAAGTTTAGTGTTCTGTTGGCAGAATGTCTCTTAAGTTTACTGATGGTTAGGAACTGGGCTAGGAATGTCCTAAATAAACAAAAAATGGCGAAGCAAACACAGTTCTAGAGAAATTTGACTGAGTAAACGTTGTTCACTATCGCACATGTCATCGGCTTCCTCCTGGGTTAGGACCAGGGGGATTGTAAGTTGACAATTTCCCCCAGGGGTGAGGGAAATTAACAAGGCAAAGTGCCCCGGGTCAAGTGCTTCTCAATGAAAAATCCCCGTGATACCCACCTCAAAAAAGCTGGGCTTCACTTGATTGATTCACTTGAATTTTAATGATACTTGTAGTCTGCTTAGCTTGCAGAATTTGTTGTGTACGACTGTTAACAAGGACCACAAAAGCATCTGTGAAATGAATTTAGCTATAAAGTAAGCCGCAAGGAGAATGGGGAAAATTCCTCGTCGCTTCGCCACAAACTTGGGCAATGTAATCCTTCCAGCTATACGCTTTCTTCATTAGGAACAAGAACAGTAGCATTTACAATTACAAGATACCCAGACTATAGATCAAAGCAATGCGCATGCCCACAAAATTTACTATATGTTAGGCACCTTTTCTTGCTTATTTTTCTGCAGTTTGTTATGAGAGATGACTAGTTTTAACAAAGGATGAGAAGAATGCCCTACAAATAGAAGCGGAATATAGTGATAGAAATTGCAATTTTTTGTAGCCGTAGTCACTGTTCTATATACATCTCCTTTATGGCACGGTATGCACTAGTTCATTCCCAGTCATCAAGAAAGACATCTGGTCTCTTGCAAATGGGTAGTTTACCTTCCCAATATTTATGGAATGGGCAAAGAGATAAATCACTGTGGGATCCCTGTGAACTTTGCCGTTTGCGATTTTGCAAAATTTTGAATTCCCCCACCCCTTTTCTTTGAACCTAAAACAATAACAATGAAGTGAATTTTCCCCTTCCCAGGGGAAGACAATCCAATCCATCTCATTATATTCCCTCATAAATTCCCCTGGTTGGCCCTGGGTCCTACCCCTGAGGGAAGCCAATGACATGTGCATTATGGGAGGTGGTCATTTTCTCGAATCAAACCACAGGGAGTCTTTTGCAAGGTGAGGTGCTTGACACATCTACTTTTAGGGCTTCTTCACATGAGCCCTTGACTTGGCTGACCTGGCTACCAGGACCAATAATTTCACCTTGGGTTGATATGAGAAATTTTAGCCCGGTTTCTGAGATGAGATAAGGCTGAAGATCCTGCGGATGAGTTCTGGTGCGAAATTTAAGAAAAAAAGCAAACGTGGTGAAACACAAAGTTATAACTTTTGCTTCTATCATAGCTTTGGCAACTTTTATAGCTGTGTATTACTGCAGTTAACATCGGATGCTTATGATGTGGAAAATACAGCCGGCAAAGCAAAATGATGCCATCCGGGCATGCTCAGTGCCCCACTTTCATCCCGGAAACTGGACTGAAGTGTTTACATGGCCCGCCTCCCAAGATCCTGGTTGGAAAATCTGAGATCTCAGAAAAATTTGTAAAAAATTTTACAAAGGATTTAAAGGTAAGGTGAGATCTCGGAAACTGGGCATGCCCAGTCAACCAGTCTCATGTGAAGAGGCCCTTACAAGCTAAGTCTTTGGAAGTAGAATTTATTACACACAGGTTCAAATTTATGATACTTGTAGTTCCATGTTGTCACTAAGAAATCTTTGTATATTCTGAGTAGCATTAAGTTCCTGTAGTACATAAAGTGTTTTGCTTTCAAATTCATCCAAACTTCCCCTGCACCCTGGGCCAACAGCTAGTTCATACATGTAGTTTGCACAAATCCCTTTCTGGGGCTGTGCTCACCTGGCATGCTCCCCCTTAGGCATATTCTAGCTATTTAGTAATTAGCAATTATTGAATGAGGCTGAGTATCATCTGAAGAATGTGGATAACACCCTCTGAGATCTCCATGATTATTCTTCAGATGAAACGAAAGCCGAATTGAATAATTGTTAAGTTTTTGGTTATTCATTCAAAACAATCCCTAGTTTAAAACAAGCTAAAACATGCTTACTTCCATCAATGTTAAGTTCATCTTTGATAGTGCATGTTTAGCGGCAAGTTTAGGAGATAAAGGCTTGGTCAGTTCTGCAAAAAATATTCTCCAAATAGCAGATGTTGTCTGTTGAGTTGTCTTCTTGCTGAAATGTTGCTATGTTTTTAGCCAATAGTTCACCTATTT